AGTCAGATGTGACACTGCTCTGAACACTCAGGTGTGACACTGCTCTGTACAGTCAGGTGTGACACTGCTCTGCACAATCAGGTGTGACACTGCTCTGAACACTCAGGTATGACACTGCTCTGAACAGTCAGATGTGACACTGCTCTGCACAGTCAGATGTGACACTGCTCTGAACACTCAGGTGTGACACTGCTCTGAACACTCAGGTGTGACACTGCTCTGCACAGTCAGGTGTGACACTGCTCTGAACACTCAGGTGTGACACTGCTCTGCACAATCAGGTGTGACACTGCTCTGAACAGTCAGATGTGACACTGCTCTGAACACTCAGGTGTGACACAGCTCTGAACACTCAGGTGTGACACTGCTCTGCACAGTCAGGTGTGGATGGCTCTCAGGCCTATGGAGTCTTCAGAATTTTGGAACAGAATTCCCAGGCCGTGGGGAGTGGGAAGGATCCTGCTCACCCCATCTCTTCTTAGTAATTTAAAAAACAACAAACAAAATGAAACAAAACAAAACGTATCTTAATCCAGAAGGGAGAGATAAAACACCAAGGGGTGGGTGTTGGGTTAACTTCTAGAATTTTATTTAAGTAGAAAGGGCCTCTCTTACTCATTTTAGAAATGATTCTCTGAAGCCTTACAAAGAGTTTGGAAGAATGTACTCTAGCTAAAAGCCTTTCTTACTGTAAAGTTAGTACAAATGAAGTTAGATTAATACCTGTCTTTCTCATAATCATTTATAACTGTCATATCACAAGTTTACTAAACTTATTTGCCAAAAGAAAGAAAAGCACGCATATATTCATTCAAAATAGTTTTGTTGTTTTTAATCCTTTAAAATTATACCATCAAACTTGATGGGAGTTATTTTAATAGGCATTCTTGTGCATATTTCTCCTTAAGTGTACTTTGTCTTCAATGCATAAAAAATTTAAATTAAGAGGAAAGACAGCAAGCAGGAATGGTACAACGCCAAAAGCATCTCATTTTGTTCCAAACAAGCAACTTGTTTTGTTTTTTTAAAAGGCAAAATACATGAAACAAAGTGCATTACTTCCAAAGAGAGAGTATTGGAGAGAGGGCTAGGGATGGTGCTGGAAGCAGCCTGGAGTCCCACTGGCAAGCCCCTGATTGTCTTTAGGGAACATTCAACCAAAAAAAGGAGGGAGGTGGGAGAAAAACCCCAGAGAATCTCACAAGAGGGCTAGAGCCTGCCTGCTTCACCTCAGCCCAAGCTTTGTGAACTTCTGTAGCCTCTGCTAATCTAATCTGCATTGTGACTTGAGTTGTGACCACCTGAATTCTGCCAAGCTAGATATAGTTAGACAGAATGAGCCATATAGGAACCTTTCTGCCTGAGTTTCCACACACTGAGAGCAGTTCCTCCCTCACAAGTTCCCTCCCTCCCTCTTCTTATTTGCTTCTTTCCTTCCCTCCTTTTCCTTCCTTCCTTCCTTCCTTCCTTCCTTCCTTCCTTCCTTCCTTCCTTCCTTCCTTCCTTCCTCCTCCCCCCACCATGGCTCCATTCTGCACTTTACTGCTGGTAGTGACAACTGTCTGGTAAGTCTGTTGCTTGTCCCTCTTTCACAACACTTCACCATGGTAGGCCATAGTGCCTACCACACCAGACTTGTCAGAAAAAGCATTATGAGAGTTTTAAACCTGCTTTTTAAAAACCCTCCAACCCCTCCTACAAACCTTTACCCTGGTTTTGCTGGATCTTGTGAAATTTTGACTTCTTAAACACAGCAGCAAGAAAATCAATGTGCGCTGCATTAACACCCACTACCTGTGTGCCTCATACTTAAGGCTGTCCCCAGAGCAAAGTCACCTATGTGGCTGAAGACAAGCACTAAGGAAAACAACCCCAAATGAGTACACCTGGAACCAGATCAACTTGGACTGGACTTTGAGTTTAGAATTCTTAGAACGAAACTCCAGGTCAATAGGTAGCTTATTAGAATAAATTCAAATTCCCCAAGTACATCCATTCTCATACAAAGCAATCATCAAAGTTCATAAGTAAAACATTTAAGATAAATAAAGCCAATGGCAGGAAAGTGACCATTACTTTTTGGTTGTACAGGAGGCTCTGTCCTTACCAAGTTTCTGAGCCAGCATCATGGTCACAAGACACAGAACTTACAAAGGTCCTAGGACCAGAGACATCCAAATTTACAAAGGGAGTATCTTGTCTGCCCAAGTTCTCTACTTCTTTGCTTCTTCACTTCATAAGAACAACATAGTCCTCTTCATAAGAACATCACAGGAACTTGTGTGGTTTTGCACACATATGGAATATTCCCAGTATGTAAGTTGAGTTCAAACTCAGTGTGATTTCCACAGTCTAAGGTCTCTCCCAGCACTGTTGGCAATCACTCAAACTGGACAAAGATCTCTTCAATGTAAGCTCTAGTGAGAGGTGCCAACTAAGAGTAAGACCCAGTGACAGTTTCCATGCTTTTACAATAGTTTTTACACTGCTGTTACCTTTCATTTAGACTCTCTGATGTTCTGTGTCTCTTGGAAATAATGTTGGCTTGAGCAGGGTGGGATGTTTTCAATCCTATCTGCCTTCTTCAGGCTTCACATTAGTAACTCAAGTGGTTCTAAAGAGCATGTAAAATGTATTCAAGTCCTCAGGAAGCTTTGGTCTAATGCCCTTTCCCTCACAGTGAAAATACTTTTATTTCCCGAAGAGGCATACAAAGGTCAAACTCTAAACTGGTTTTCTATGCCTGCCTTTATTAAAATTCAATAAATATTTACTAAGGTCTTCATTTCCAGAGCTTGGCTAGTACCCTTCTTATACTTGTATTATAAAAACAGGGAGTGGTATATACTGCTAAAGAAAGGCTAAAGGTGTAATTAAAAGGCTCCATTAATGGATCCTCTATATTTGAAAAGGATAAAGATGTTTCACAAAGGAAATCAGCAGATATAGTCAAAATATCAGAGCCAATCTGCACAGTTGAAGGTTTCCCTAAAAGACAAATATAGCTGTAAAGTCTAGTTTTGGTCAGTTAAGTTTTCAGGTCTAGGAGGACAATATAGTCCATTCACGTATTTCTAAGTTTGTCAACCCAAGTTAACAATGGATCACAAAAAACTTGACTGCAGGCAAGCTATGAGAGCGACTGCAGGTGAACTCCAGACAGTCTCGTCACAGCATACCTCTAAAACTCCTGAGATTGGCTGTCTCAGAAACAGATTTCACATACAAATGAACAACATATAAACTACTTACCCCAATAATGCAAGCTATTATCAAAACTTAAAATATCCCAGCATCCTAAATGAACCATCACTGCTACTCAGCCTAACCCCTGCATCTTTTATACATGAAATTAAAACAATTTTTAAAAAAGGGCAAGGTTTCATATAATCCAGGCTAGCCTAGAATTCACTATGTAGCTGAGGTTGATCTTAAACTTCTGATCCTTGTTTCCTCTTCCCAAGTACTGGAATTAAAGGTATGTAACACCATACTCAGTTTGGGATTAGAATTTTGTACTTAAAAAATGTCTTCTGCAAAATTCTCGTATAATCCTCCTCTTAAGTGTGAGGAGGGAGGGTAGATAATCTTTGATGTGACTGTCAAGTACACTATATTCCAATGAGAGTGCAAGAAATATTTAGGGAAGCCCTCCTCTTGTCTAACTCATGGCTAGTCTTTCTATAGGAGAAAGCAGAGACTGAATAATTATGGTGCCACCCCACCCCCAGACCCACTAATGGCTTGGGTCACGTGCTTCACCTTTCATGCACGATACCAGTCATCTCTGATAGTTCGACATTCTGTGATCTGAGTCAAGAATAGAGGTAAATTACAGTCATTGCTGTCACCTTTCATTTTACTAAGGTAACAAGGTGAGATCCTACAGTCATAGGTTTTATGTCCTCAGAAGACTCCCCTCTGTATCAGTGACTCAACTCTTGCAGTCTCAGGAGATTCTATGAAGAGAGCCATGACATGTCTGTTTCCCAGTACTGTTTCCTAGTATCATGTCTGCTTCTCTTCATGGCATGAAAGAATCATGTTTTTAGAAAATGGATTTCTAAGTAAGCTCAAATAAATGAACCATTACTTAAATGAAGCTTCTTCCCAGATATTCCTGTTGGTAACCTATATGAAGAGCTACTGCTTTTAAGACTTGGTTAGATGGTTATCCTATGAAGAAAAGAAGCAGACTACAGACTTTTCCAGTGTCCATAAAAACAGGTGGGAGTTGAGGTGAGAAAAGAAAAAAAAAATCACAATTTAAATTTGTAATAATATTACCTTATATTTGTATACTTGTTCAGAATTTACTCAGTTTGCAGTTTTAAAACATTTTCAATTCTTGAGGAAAAATGCTTAGGGTATAAATCTGTAGGGTTTAGGGTAATCAAAAATAAATAAATAAATAAATAATCAACAAGGAAAACATTAAAGGAGGCAACTGTGTATGCATGTCTTTCCTTACTCATGGCTGTAGCATAGCAAGTGCTATTCTATAATAGCTAACACCACCATCGTAAGTGAAAATTCACCTGGAGCTTCATGTCAACTTGAGTTTAATTTAAAAAAAAAAAAAACTTCAAAAGAATGAGCTACTGAGTGAGACTCTTCAGATTGTAATTACATTCAATTTAAATTTGTTTAACTGAAGACAGGCATAAACGTGGCTAGACAGAGATTTCCAGACTCCTTAACCACCTTTCCCATCCAAGTACCAACCAGGCCCTGCTTAGCTTCCCAGAGGAGATAAGATCTGGGATATTTGGGGTAGTGAGTTCATAGACTCTTAACTACCTCTCAGTACTCATAACCAAGGACACTATTAAGGAACTTCAACTTTGTGCCATACCCAAAGACACATTTCTCTGCTATGTATCTACTTGGACATACCTAGAAAACCAGAAAAATGGGCTTGACAGTAGGTCCAAAGAACCCACACTGATTTTCACTGAGAGTAGAAACTCCAGAAATGAAACAGAGGTAGTTAAACAACTCTACAGAAAAATAAACATAAAATAAAAGCCACTTAAATACCTTTCAGAACTAATAGGGAGAGAGTAATTAAACTGAAATACCCATTGGTCTTTGTAAAGCCACCTAATGATGGTGGCCAAAACCTGGTCATGATGGAGGACACAACAGTAGAATTCTTAGGACAAACTGGTTAAGGGACTGGTGGTGTAAGTGCCAACATGATATCTTTAAGAAAGCAGGCAGTGCCTTCTCTAATTTCTGTCATAGTTTTAGCATTCAGCTTAAAAATGGCATCATACAAAAAATGTCACTCATGGCTGTAAGCGCAGTCATCAACAGAGGTAGTAAACAAAGGAACTCCTAAGAATAGATTTTAAAATGGATCAAAGTGTGACTATACATTCAAAACCCTAGAGCCACTTAATTATCCCCAAAATGAACTGCTTTAATTTAAAAAAGCTTAAAAACACAACAACAATGAAGCACTGATGTGCCTTAGGCACAGTCCCAAACCAGTGCTGACTTAAAGCTATGTCCTCTCTTTTCAAGAAAGAGAAAGCAGAGAACAGAGTTCAATCTACAGAGGGAAGGAACAGAATGAAAACAACATTGGTGCGGCCCAGCTGTCACCATCATTCTTTGTTTCAGGTCCCACTAATGGTAATTCAGACTTTTATGGTTTTCTCACAATGTTTTTTAAACTGGAATCTTCTAAACAGAAGTCCATATTTGCACTGTAGGAGAGCCATTTTTGTGCTGTTTTGCTTCCTCAGTGTGGGTCCTCCTTCCCTGAAAGTGCAAAGATAGCAAGCCAACACTTGCAGGCCGACAGCTCAGGACTACTGCAGCCATCTGTAGAGCAGGGCAAAGGGTTTGCTGCACTGTGCTTCAAAGACTCAGCTCAGTCTGCTTGTCCTTCTCAGTTGGCAAACTGCTCATAAAAAGCAAACTTGATCCTCTCTATGTGATGGCAGAGCTTGATGGCGGGGCCCAGCTTTAAGTCCATGCACTCTTGGACAGTGGGAAGGGTGAGGAGCAGAAGGGCCTGCCCATCAATTTCCTGTTGAGGATAAAGAACAAAGGCTGTGATGTGCACACAAACCAGACTCCTTCCCAACCCTCCCGACCTACACCAGCTGTCACAACTGCAGCTCGCTGCCTCCCCCATTCCTTTTCCCTTTGAACAGAGCAGTGGTCTGCCGCCCTGAGAAGCCTTCAGAGTTGGTAATCAATGGACCAACCTTGATATTCTAATCTACAAATTCTGCTCAACAGAAAGTTAGCATCTAGGGAGCCCTGTAACTAATAACTAATTATGAAAAGGAAATACTTTTAAAGCACTCTATCCAAATCTAAAACTATCTGAAAATACTAACTATAAACTTTAATGTAACTACCTTGTAAAGTTTATAAAAGAATTCAAAGATGATAGGGCCTGTTTTATTTTTGAGACATGGTCTCACTGTGTAGCTTAGACTGGTCTCAAAGTCACTATGTAGCCCAGGCTAGACTCTAACTTGTGAGCCTCTACCACAACTATCCAAGTACGGGCTAATAGTCATAGATACTGTTTTGTATGGCACTATATCTTCTGCCTGCCATAACTATTCGCATTTCACCATGCCTGCATTAAAACTGGTCATTACACTACAGATTATTCAAGATGACACATTTTTTAAAAAGCAGCAAAACACTATTTTTTAAAAGATGAGATCAATTAATACATGCTTGAATTTAAAGTCACTTAGAGAATAGACTTAGATTCTGAGGAAGCACAACCCTTGTGTTGTAGGCTGTGAGTGACAAAAGAGAACAAGTCTTTTTTTCCTTAAACTTGCAATTTTTGTTTATAATATGCATAGTTCTGTATCAAAGACATTGTTATTACAGGTTATACTTTCTGTGATTACCTGATCAAGGAATATTCTTGCCAACGGAGCACAGTCAGTGGACCTGATGAACCGCACAACGTCGGCCACACTCCACTTCAGGGGGTTGCTGTCCAGGTGAAGCCTTTCATCAACTTCAATCCTTATTTCCTTCATTCCCAAGAATGAGATCAAACCAAGTAGTATAAGAACTCGTATATTTTAAAAATGTCTCCCAAAGAAATTAAACACTCTTCACAGCAGGATACAAAGAAATTGTAAGACTGACATTCCCCACTCCAGTTATTCTCTTTCAGACTGATTTTTTCCAGCAAAGAAGACAAGAAGCTCACATGCATTAGTTATTTGGGAGATTTATAATAGAAATTTTATCTTATTTATTTATGTTCCACATGTGCTTCTGGATGTTCTTAGCTATTCTCTGGTAGAATGCTATAGCAAATGGTATTTCCAATGAGAACATAAAAAATAAATATTTTATTGCTCCTGTTAATGGGACACTTTAAAAGTCCTGTTTAAAACAGTAATTTTGTTTTGTTTTAGAGGGGTCTCCTGCCCCACCTCCCAAGCACTGGGATTACAGGAGCATGAATGACGCTTTACCTCGCTTTATGCTGTACTAAGGACTGAACCTAGGGCTTCGTGCATGCTAGGCAAGCACTCTGCCAGCTCTAAAACTGTGAGTTAATAGTAATAGCCATTAGTGTTATTTAGGTCATACAGTGTACATTTATGTACACAGTAGACTGCTAAACAAGACAGCTGAATGAGAGAATTAAATGGGTAAATGATTTGTTTCTAGAAAATAAACACTTTTCCTTAAACCAAATGGCAAGTTATAAATAAACTAGCAACAAAACTTTTTCCTTTTACTTAAAACAAGCAGCTTCTCTGAGAATCCCCCTTCATTAACAATCTCCAAATAATGTTTGCAGCTCATGAAGATCACAACTTTGAAGATCACTTTACTTACTTTTAATTTACTTGTGTTTGTGTGTATGCATGTGCATGCACACACTCAGGTGTGCATGTCCATGCTGAGCCCACAGGGGCCAGAAGAGGACATCAGAACTGAATCTGCAAGCAGCTTTGTGGGACACCTTCCACGGGTGCTGGAATCCTAACTGGAATCCTCTAGAAGAGCAAGAGTTTTCCCAACTGCTGAGCCCTCTCTCCAGCCCGAGGCTCACTTTAAAATGGCCCTAGAAATTCCTCCTAAGTGTATATGGGAAGAAGTGGAATGCTGGCACCACGCACAGTGACAGAGGGAGATGAGAGGACACTGTGAGAGGAAATTCTTTTCACATGGTACCTTTGGTGAAGGAGGCTTATTTTCATCATCTGAGAGTGAGGAAGTCTGGGCGTCTCTTTTATTGGTCTGTGTGTCTGGGGGCACTGGGGTGGGTGTCTCATTCTGGGTGGGAGAAGAGGAGCATGATTTTTTTTCTGACACTTCAGACTCTTCCTGTAACTCCTCCTGATGCTCGGATGTACTGCCCTCAGTTAGGGAATCATCATCTCCATCATCTGCATCCTCCTCATCTTCACCCCCACTTCCCTAGAGGAGAAGGAAAGAAATCTCTCTTTAACCCAGGACAAACCAGTCACTGGTACAAAACTATCTACTGACCAGAAATTGGAGTTAAAAAGATGTGTAGGTACTATGTGTACAGACTGTAAAGCAGAGATCATTTGGCCCCTAGAGAGGACAATGTGTCACAGAACTTATACCTGGGGTGAGCCCACTGGGGTATTGTCAACAGATGCAGAAGAGCGTTTCTTCTTATGAACAAAAATATTTTTCCGCCTTTTTCTTCTCTTATTGCTTTTTTTCAGGGCAGAAGATAAATTACTATGTCCACCAGGTGGCCTCCCAATTCTTTTATTTTTCTTCTTTCCATAATAGTGTGCTAAATATAAATGATCAAAAAGAAGGGAAAAAAGTAGCTTAATTATTGTTATGTACCTTAAAACCACAGGATTCTATTACCACAGCAGAAAATGGTATACTACATTTGCAGTTTAAATTCCATACATTAGAATAAGCAGAAAAATACATAATTTGATTTGTATCAATATGTAGAAATGTAAGCACTCCTGGATCTGTCAAGGCAGAGAACATATCCATTGGTGTAGAGTTCTCAGGGCCCCAGTCACTCACTGCAGAGCAACCACTCCTAATTCCCATCACTGTAGACGGACTTGCTCTCTGCAGAACGGTGCAGTGGGCACTGCTTTATAAACTGCTTTTCTTGTGCAGTGTGATTTACTTTAGTCTCATCTCTTCTGTGTTGGTGAGTAGGATTCTATTGTATGGAAGTACCCATTCATCTGTTTCACTGTTGATGAGCACTTGGGTTATATCCAGGGTTTGAGTGTAATTAAAGTTGTAATGAACAATTCAGGTTCTTTGCAGGAGCAGTAAGTGCTCTTATCCACAAAGCTATTTCTTTTCTTTTTTTTTTCTTTTTAAGATTTATTTATTTATTTATTATTTATTTATTTATTTAATGACACTGTTACTGTCTTCAGACACACCAGAAGAGGGCATCAGATCTCATTACAGATGGTTGTGAGCCACCATATGGTTGCTGGGAATTGAACTCAGGACCTCTGGAAGAGCAGTCAGTGCTCTTAACGGCTGGGCCATCTCTCCAGCCCCCCACAAAGCCATTTCTTTAACTCCTCACACAAGGTGTGTTTTCACTGCTCTACACAAATACCTGATAATTAAAATGCTGGACCTTGGACCTTAAGATAGATATCTTGAACAATTTAATGTTTGTGTATAGAAATTTCTCATTGTAGCTTAAAAAAACCAGATAAATTTATGTGGTACAATATGACATTCCAATATGTGTATAATATGTAATGATAAGATCAGGGTAAACAACTTAATATTTCACTTTAAACATTTATATTTTTTGTATTAGAAACATCTGAAATCCTCTCTACTATTTTAAATATAAAATTAAATGTTGCCAAAAGTTAGCCTTCTACTCAGTCAGTCTAAGTGGTATCTCCAAGAAAACTAAAAGCTTTTGTCATAAAGTGTGTGGACAGTATTCCTGAGCCTCCTCAGGCCTCTGTCCCGGGCCTCTACACAGGTGTACACACAAGAGCAAAACTGTACCCCTTTAATCCTACTGCAGGACTGTACCCATCAATAAACTCCTCTCCATTCCCACCTCCTGCACACCCTTCCCAGGATGTGATAAGCACTATTCTATTACTGACTTTAGCCTCCACATAGAAGTGAGAATATTCAGTATTTTTGTGTGTTTGACTTATCTCACTTATTGTAACACCCCAAAGTTTTACCCTTGATACTACAAATCTCAAACATCCACTCCACAAGTAATGAGTTACACTGAGCCACTTCCATGCGCTCACTGCACATCTGTGTATTTTCTTCCATGTTTGTGCAAGCCTTTTATTAATTGTTTAAAACTGTTTTCTTTTCAATTTATTTAAAAAACACAAAAAACTGTGACACTGTAGACTGAACTCAAGATTGCACAAATGCCACAACACTGAGTTGTAACTTACTTTTTACTTTTTGAGATAAATCTACAAATACAATTAATTCACCTGGTGGCCTACTGTTTACTGGCTTCAGTGCAGTCTGCATGAAATCATCAACACCAATTCTAGACATGTGCAACCCCATAGGAAGAACAGTATCAACTAACCAGACCACCCATAGCTCCCAGGGGCTAAATCACCAGCCAAAAAGTACACATGGAGAGAGACCCATGGCTCCAGTTGCCTATGTAGCAGAGGATGGCCTTGTCTGACATCAGTAGGAGGAGAGGCCCTTGGTCCTGTGGAGGCTAGGTGCCCCAGTGTAGGAGAAGGCAGGAATGGGTGAGTGGGTGGGGGAGCACCCTCCTCAGAGAGGCAAGGAGGAGGGTGGGATGGGGGATTTGTGGAAGGGAAACCAGAAAGGGGGATATCATTTGAAATGTAAACGAATAAAATGATTAATTAAAAAAAGTCTTCTCCAAAGGAGAAAAAAGAAATTTTAATTAAATTCAAACTAATGAAACTACAACTAACTACTGTAAGCATACAATTCAGTAGTGCTTAGTATATTCAAATGACATGCAGCTATCATCTCAGCATGATCTCAAAACTTCCCCTTTTATTACAGAGTTGTGGAAACTCATAAAATGTTCTGGAATCTTGGCTGCACACACATTAAACATATTTTCCCAACACCATGGCTTGGTGTCTTCTCTTTAATGGCAATATTTAAAACCACAGCTTCTCTTGGCCTTATGTGTCCTGCTATCATCAGTATTACTGGGTCCTCACTAGACACCTTTGCTTACCCTAAAGTCTGGAGACAACTCTTGGTTTCTTTTAGAAACTGTGGAGTTCTAGGTTTCACAAAAGGCATCTATGATAGGTTTAAAGTTGATATCTGTATATTGTATGAGGTAGGAGCCAGAGAGTTTGGATATACACGTTACTGGGACTACCTTAAACTTAGCTCTTTCTTCACTATTTGTCACCCTTGTTAAAGTAATTTGATCATGCAAATGCCACTCTATTTCCAGATCCTGTTTCAACTCACTGCTTTATTCTGCTACTCTTTAATATTAGAATCTTTCAATGATTATAGTTTCCTCTTACAGTTACAAAAAGAGTAGGTCCTTCAACTTTATTTTTGTTGCCTTTTTTCTTTCAGCATTAAAAAGTTTGGTTATTCTAAATACTTGTTGTTTTCTTTAAGTTTAATGCCACCCTTCACAATAGTTGCAAATAATATAAAATACCTTGGTGTGAATCTAACCAAGCAAGTGAAAGACCTGTACGACAAGAACTTCAAGTCTCTGAAGAAAGAAATCGAAGAAGATCTCAGAAGATGGAAAGATCTCCCATGCTCATGGATTGGCAGGATTAATATAATAAAAATGGCCATCTTGCCAAAAGCAATCTACAGATTCAATGCAATCCCCATTAAAATCCCAACTCAGTTCTTCACAGAGTTAGAAAAGGAAATTCTCAAATTCATATGGAATAACAAAAAACCCAGGATAGCAAAAACTATTAACAATAAAAGAACTTCTGAGCCGGGCGGTGGTGGCGCACGCCTTTAATCCCAGCACTCGGGAGGCAGAGGCAGGCGGATTTCTGAGTTCGAGGCCAGCCTGGTCTACAGAGTGAGTTCCAGGACAGCCCGGGCTATACAGAGAAACCCTGTCTCGAAAAACCAAAAAAAAAAAAAAAAAAAAAAAAAAAAAAAAAAAAAAAAAAAAAAAAGAACTTCTGGAGGAATCACCATCCCTGACCTCAAGCTGTACTGCAGAGCAATAGTGATTAAAAACTACCTGGTATTGGTAAAGAGACAGGCAGGAAGATCAATGGAATAGAATTGAAGACCCAGAAATGAACCCACACTCCTATGGTCACTTGATCTTTGACAAAGGAGCTAAAACTGTCCAGTGGAAAAAGGACAGCATTTTCAACAAATGGTGCTGGTTCAACTGGAGGACAACATGTAGAAGAATGAAAATTGATCCATTCTTATCTCCTTGTACAAAGCTCAAGTCTAAGTGAATAAAGGACCTCCACATAAAACCAGATACACTGAAACTAATAGAAGAGAAGGTGGGGAAGAGCCTCGAATACTTGGGCACAGGGGAAAAGTTCCTGAACAGAACTCCAATGGCATATGCTCTAAGATCAAGAATTGACAAATGGGACTTCATAAAATTGCAAAGTTTCTGTAAGGCAAAGGACATTGTCAATAAGACAAAACGACAACCAACAAATTGGGAAAAGATCTTTACCAATCCTTCATCTGATAGAGGGCTAATATCCAATATATACAAAGAACTCAAGAAATTAGACTCCAGACAACCAAATTACCCTATTAAAAAATGGGGTATAGAGCTTAACAAAGAATTTTCAACGGAAGAAACTCGAATGGCCAAGAAGCACCTAAAGAAATGTTCAGCATCCTTAGTCGTCAGAGAAATGCAAATCAAAACAACCCTGAGATTCCATCTCACACCAGTCAGAATGGCTAAGATTAAAAACTCAGGTGATAGTAGATGCTGGCGAGGGTGTGGAGAAAGAGGAACACTCCTCCATTGTTGGTGGGACTGCAAGATGGTGCAACCACTTTGGAAATCAGTCTGGCGGTTCCTCAGAAAATTGGACATAGCATTACCTGAGGATCCAGCTATACCACTCCTAGGCATATACCCAGAAGATGCTCGAACATATAACAAGGACATATGCTCAACTATGTTCATAGCAGCCTTGTTTATAATAGCCAGGAGCTGGAAAGAACCCAGATGTCCTTCAACTGAGGAATGGATTCAAAAAATGTGGTATATTTACACAATGGAGTATTACTCAGCTATTAAAAACAATGAATTCGAGAGGTTCCTAGGTAAATGGATGGAACTAGAAATTATCATCCTGAGTGAGGTAAGCCAATCACAAAAGAACACACATGGTATTCACTCACTGATTATTGGATATTAGCCCAGAACCTTGAAATGCCCAAGATGCAACTCACAGGCCACATGAAGCCCATAAAGAAGGAAGACCAAGTGGGGGTGATTCGGTCCTTCTGTGAATTAGGGAGGCTGCAGGCAGAGGCAGAGTTAGGTGAACTCATTAAGCTGACCCAGACAGAGCATAGGATGTGTAGGCCTGGCTGAACCTGGCGATCTGGCACGAGCAGCTGTAGAGTTGGGGAGGTCTGTGCCGGGAAGTATAAATAGATTACTTGTGTCTTTACCCCACATGGGCTGGCTAGAGGGGTCCTGGCTAGCAGCAGCATGGAGATTGGAGTGGGGAGAGGTTGTGTCAGGGGACACTGTCACCACACCACATGCTGATGTTGTTAAAGATAAGCTTTAACATGATGGCCAGGAATGAAAGTATTCCCAGGGCAAGAAAGGCTAGCCTGATCAAGCTATATATGCCATTCCTGAGGTTTGACCAAAATGGAAATACTGACCTCAGGCCATGGATAATTTTATTGGCATTATCTGCAGCATCAAAGGTCAACAGAGCAGCATTCTTTAAATTCATAATCTCACTATGCAAATAACTTTAAATACTAATGGCCTAACTCTCAAAAGACACAGGCTGGCTGAATGGATTAAGAAACAAAAATCCACCTTTTTTTTTTTTTGCCTATAAGGAAGTCAGCTTTAAAGACAGGCCTACTTTAAAGTAAAAGAATGTAAAAAAGTTTTCCAAGCAAAAGAGAACTGGAAGCAAACTAAGAGTTATACTAATATCTGACAAAATAGACTTATAACTAAAGCTAATCAGAATAGACAGACACCTCACTCTGATTAAGGGTCAGAGAACTATCAATGGAGAAGACATGACAACTCTAAACATGTATGTGCTAAACTTTATAGAGTACTCAATTTCATAAAAAGCCTACTACTAGAATCAAATACACAGATGATCATCAACTCAGTAACAGCCAGTGATATTTATACCCCACTATCTCCATTAGACAAGACATTTGGACAAAATATAAACAGAGAAAGATCAGAATTAAATGACATCATATATCAAATCCAACCTAACAGATACACACAGAGTATTCCACCGAAACACTAAATAAAACACCTTCTACTCAGCAGCCCACATCCTGAGACATAAAACAAATTCAGGATAAATGAAACAATTGTATATCCTATCTAACTATAATGCAATAAAACTTAAAACTGACAATGAAGTAATCTACATGAACTCACATAGAGTAAACTACTCATAACTGAATGATGATCAAATCAAACAACTAAATGACAATGAAAACACAATACAATAAAATGCCTGGGACACATAAAAAGCAGCCCAATAGGGTTAAAGTTCTAAATGCTTACATTTAAAAAAATCACAAAAAGCACAAATAAATTAATAATGCAGCTCAAGGATTTTGGAAAACAAGAACAAATCAAGTCAGAAGATGGCAAGAAATAAATAATAAAAATCAGAACAGAAACTAATGAAATTCAAATAAACCCACATAATCAATGAATGTAAGAGTTTCATAGAACTTTAGACAAGATAACCATGACTGACAGAACTTCCTGCGAAGGCACATGAATTACTACCTCTGCCTACTCTGCCCATGCTGTTCAGACTGTACATTATAGCCTTTCAGTAGCTGTGCCAGTTATCAGATCAGCTCTTAAAATATCATGGTGTTCATGGCTCAAGCAACCCTCAAAGTAGTCTAATGCCACATCACTCATCATGTAAGCACTGATCTGATCTCACATCATAACAAATAGAAGGCATATCTCACAAAATATGAAAGATGACTTTCAAACAATTTTCTATTTTATTAGTTTTATTGTTAATCATTTACCATGTCTAACTTATCAATTAAATTTTAACAGAAGTGTGATGGTTTGGACATAGTTTGAATATGTTCTCCCAAAGTGTATGTGTCAGAATCTTGGTCCCTAGTATGATGGATATAGAAGGATGAGACCAGGTGAGAGGTTGTGATGTGTAGTTTTAATTGTCATTTTGACACAATGTATTATCACTTGGGGAGGGTGTGTCAATGAGGAATTGTCTAGATTTAGCCTCCTCATGGGCATGCCTGTGGAGGATTATCTTGATTATGCAGACTGACCTATCCTAACAGTGGGTCCAAGCACCACTCCGTGGGTTTAGGGGCTGGGGTGTATAAAGAAGGAGAAAGTGAGCAGAGCAAAGCACGCACATATTCAATTCACCCATCTGCTTTTGGCTGTGGATAAAATGAGAGTAGCTGTTTCCAGTTTCTGCTGTTTTGACTTCCCTGCAATGATGGATTGTAATCTGCAATTATGAGCCAAGTAAACCCTTTCTCCTTTAAGCTGTTTTTGTCCAATTTTTTTTTATTACAACATCAACTGTTGGAGATTGGTTCTAATGCTTTGATTCAATCAGGAATCTGTATGTCCAAACACTAAAATGTCCTTGTCCCCAACTGTTTTTTGATCGATCAATAAAGATTCCAATGGCTAATGACTGGGGAAAGGGAGATAGAGCGGGACCCTTCGAGTTGCACTAGGATGCAGAGGGAGGAGATGCAGGATCGCCAGGGGAAAAGGAAGAGGAAAGCTGCAGAAGAGCCATGTAAACATTTGGGTAAGTGGCCACTAGTCACCTCCTCGACTGGGCTTGGGGAGCAGGGGTAAGTTTTAGGAGTGCCCAGCTTTTAGGTAGCTAAGACATTTTAAAAATAAGCTAATATGTGTGTTTCATTCACAGATCCAAAGATAACTCTTGGGCAGGTGCACATGTACAATCTACCAGGAGCCAAAGAGGTGGTGTAGCTAAAACCTCACCGCTACAGTCAACAAATGAAATTAGAAGTCCTTAGAAAAATTAGAACCATGACCTCAAAGGGGACAGTAGGGCTCCAGTCTCTCTCACTGATTTAGCAGCATACTCTTCCTTACAAATATAATTTTCACGAAGATTTGACACAGACAAGATCTTTAACAGAAGCCAAACTGATAAGGACTACTTAGTCTTCAACTTTTTTAGCCTCCAAAACTATGTACTAAGTAAATCTTTTCTCCATGGCTAACTGTACATAAGAAAAGTTACATTTGGTACATTTTCTGCATGAATGAGCCTAGGACACTCCATTTAATTTCCAAGTTCCGCCCTAGGTCATAATCTTACCTCTCTAAGTACCAGAACACAGTTCCCAGGTCCTACACATTGAGGCAGCTCAGCAATTCTTCCTTTATTAAGATACGGTCCTGAGAAGCAACGGTGGTTGAAGTATATCTTTGGACAACAGTATTTTCCATTGATCATCACTAGAAATGAAGAAGTAAGTATTCAAAGTATTCATTCTCTCTCTACTCCATGTTTCCAAAGATGAGTTGGGGTGGCAAGTGGCATATATACTATTGTATGAGTTTTAAAATTACATTTTTGGGTGTGTAGGTGGATTTGCACATGCTATGCAAGCTTTGAGCTACATATTTCCAGCCATGGAAATATACATTTTGAAGCTTAACATACAATGCTCTTAAATATCTTCTATTTACTTTGTGCTAGTTTACAGAGCTTATCACTATTCAGAACTACATATGTTCATTAATTCCTGGGTAATGCAATACAAATCTAGAGCCCCACACTTCTACTGATAAAGTAGAGGCCTACTCCATAAACTCACCAGACTTGATGACCAATTATTTCTTTTCTAGTCCTTCAAAATCAACTGCTGAATAGTCTATTCTATAGTACTCCTAGGGATAAATGTTGAAAATTATCCAGACTTAGAGTCTGTCTCCTAAGCCCTACCATGACATTTCACATATACAGGAGGTTTTGTCATTTTATTTTGAGATAAGAGTCTCACTATGTAGCACTAGTTAGCCTAGAGTTTTATATAGAAACCAGACTGGCTTTGAACTTGAAGTTATCCACCTGCCTTTATCGTCCAAATGGTGGGATTACAGTCATGTGCCACCACGCTTGGCTCAAGTGTATTCTTAATTTCCTGATTTAGCCCATCAAAAGGTAAGCAAGGATTTCTTCTCCACAATGTCACAAATACTATACCTGAGTGGGTGGAGTTCAGCTTCAGGCTGTCATGGACAGATCTTGAAGACAGTATTCTGGGTTAAGAAAACAAAGGAAAACAGTGAAATTGCCAGCAAAGCCTACAAGTTAGTTTCCTTCAAAAAAGTAAATGTGGCGACTTGTAAACCCAAAATAAATGCTCTTAAACCATAATATATTATTTTTTTAAGTAGAAACTGATTTTAAAACTATGCATAGTACAAACAAGCCAAGAATTTCTAGACAAGTGATATTATACGTTCACAATTTACAAAACTGTATTATAAAATCTAAAAGTTTCTTGTAGGAGTTTGGTTGTTGTTGTTTTTTGAAACAGTTTTTGTAAATATCTCTGGCTGATCCAGCACTCACTATGTCGCCCAAGATGGCTTCTAACTTATGGCAATAATCCTACCTCAGTTTCCTGTTTGCTCGTATTACAAGCATATGTCACTGTGTCTGACTTTCTGTGAGGTTCTTAAATAAACCATTCATTTTTTCAAATCATACAACAAAAACATTTCTTGTGAATATACAAGTATGTTGATATACACATGGGTACAGAGGTTAGAGGTCAACCATATTTTATTTATTTATTTATTTATTTATTTGGAGATATGGTCTCTTCCTAGAACCTGACCTGACCAATTCAGCCAGACTGACAGGCTAGCAAGTCCCAGGGTCTGCTTGTCACTATCTCCCTATCACTAGCATTCCAAGTACACCATCATGCTTAGCTTTTCATTTGGGTTCTGGGGACCAAACTCAGGTCTTCATGTTTGGTCAGCAAGAACTTTGCCAACTGAGACATCTCCTCAACCTCCCACAAATGTTTCTTATATAGTCTTCTGTCAGTATATACATAATTATAAAACATTAGAGATGCATTCTACATGGAGAAATCTTTGAAATATTTTAGAACAGTTTGGAATGCTTCATTACTGAAATTTTGATTTCAAATTAACAACTAAGATGCTATTGTTGTTATTGTTGTTGCTATCTCACTTATGCAGCAGGGATAAAATTGTATGGCCTTTCACTTTATTTCTATTAGCAGTTTTATTACCTACAGAACTACAAAGTAGCTATAAATTATTTACTAGGTTATTATAAAAGTGGCTAAAGATATAACTATATCCCTCAAAGTTCATTTATTAAAATTGTAAAATTCATTTATTTATTTAATCATCAATTTAACTGCACATGGTCAGGCTTAGATCCTAAGAGTAGGATCATCTAATAGCCTTATAAGAAGAGGAAGGACAAAGATAGAAGGAGGGCAGGGAGAGTTCTTCACTGTAAAGTCCCAGCTAGAAGGCATCCATTGGTACACCTGAAAGCAAGACCTTACAGGGAATCAGATCAACTGCCATTCCCACCTGGCAATTCCTAGCTCAGAGTTTGAGAAAATTAGCTGCTGTGGCTTACATCACTAAGTCTGTGTTAATTTTGTTGTGGCAGCTTATTAGACTATAAAGAATACAAAATTTAAAATAAACATAGAAACTTCTGTATTTTTAAGATGTAAGATACCACAGCAACTGACTGCTTCTCAAAGGCTGTAAGAGTATGTTACAAGAGTCTCCTGATGGGTTTAAAGGCGGAATGCAACTTTTTGTTTCTAGTTGCTCTTTTGTACATCAAGATACTGTGAGGAATCATTCCTTGACTTAACAATTTTTGCTTTTCTTTCACAAATATTTCCTTTCTTTTATTAAATTGCCTTCAGTATCTAAAAGCTAAAAAAAAAATTCATTTTGGGAAACATCTTGATATATTTGCACTTTTGTATATAACAGTAACTTTTTTTTTTAATACAGAGTTTTACTACATAACCCAGACTAGTCTGGAACTCACTATACAAACCAGGCCTACCTTAAATGATCCTCTGACCCAACCTTTAAAGTAGCTAAGATTTATAGTTGTACACTAACATGTATAACTTTATAATCCAGTTTTAAGAAAGGCATATACTTTGCTGGAGAGATGGCTCAGTAGTTAAGAGCACTGTGACTGCTCTTCCAGAGGTCCTGAGTTCAATTCCCAGCAACCACAAAGTGGGTCACAACCATCTGTAATGGGATCTGATGCCTTCTTCTAATGTGTCTGAAGACAGCGACAGTGTACTCATACACATAAAATCAATCAATCAATCAATCAGTCAATCAATCTTTTAAAAAAAGAAAGAAAGAAAAGGAAAGGCATATACTGAAAGAAGTAGTTAAGCTACCAAATTTGACTTAGACGTTTATGCTTCCATCTGAGAAAATAACACAGAGGAGATATATTCCCTTAAATAGTTATTTTTTTCCCCTAGGTATTCTAAGTTTAAACCTGAACTGTTTAGGTATCTATTATATTACTTACTGTTTTTCTGGCTGAACCACTGCAATTTTCCTCAGTTTATGCCCTGTAAGAAGAGGAAAAAAGTGCCAAAAAAATTTAAAGGTGAAGAAAAACAAAGGCTTATGCTTGTAATCAGCACTTTTATTACCTGGTTGTACATAAATAACAAGTACTTTTAAAATAATCTTAACGTGTCAACATCCTAACTGAAGAATATTTTTCAGGGTTGGGATCTTTTTAGGAAAAAAAACCAGAATGTTTTTGAATATCACTAGGCTAATCAATGACTAAAAATACTTTCCAGCAAACACAGATACTGGAAAAGAAGGCTGATCTGATCAGAACCCTAGGATCACCTAATGGATCAAAGTTTCAACACAGTACTAGGGAAATACAACATCCATATGTCTGAAGCTAGACTCTTAGTTTACATCACATATAAAAATGAAAAGAAATTACTAAAAACAGATAAAACTTCAAAATTCTTATATATAAGAAAAAGTTTACAGCTCTAAATTTGTGGATATCGTTAAATATGACACAAAGAAGAGAAGTGAAAAAACGAGTCAGAATCACACTGGAATACATTAAACTTAAAAACCTGGTATAAAAAGAGAATAAAGGGCCGACAAGATGGTTCAGTGGATAAGGGTGCTTGCCACTAAGTCCGACAACCTGAGTTTGATTCTCAATAGCCATTTGGTGGAGAAAGGGAATCAACTCCCCCAAGTTGTTCTTGGACTTCCATGACCATGCAGTGTATCTGTATATACATCACAAACACAAATACATATAATAAATATAAAAAAAACTAGAAGAGAGTAAAAGGGCTGGAGAGATGGTTCAGCAATTAAGAGTATTTGTTCTTATATAGAGAACTTGGGAGGCAGAGGTAACTACATACTTTGACTACAGTTAAAAATAAATAGTAAAATACAAACAAAAGATAACAGGCTACCTAATTCTTTTTTTTTTTGCGGGGGGGGGGGGTTTGAGACAGGGTTTCTCTGTGTAGCCCTGGCTGTCCTGGAACTCTGTAGACCAGGCTGGTCTCGAACTCAGAAATCCGCCTGCCTCTGCCTCCCAAGTGCTGGGATTAAAGGTGTGAGCCACCACTGCCGGGCTAGGCTAGCTAATTCTTATAGAAGTCAAATGCCAGTTTCTGATTCGCCCTATGAAAAATTCCAATTAACAAAGAACTTCAGCCAATAGCCAGCAAAGAATTAAGTTCCTCAGTTCAATAGCCCATGGAGATGAATTCCTGCTGCTACGGTCTGACTGTACTCTCAAATTAATTCTGAAGCTTAATTACTACATTAGGAGGTGACTGGATGATGAAGGTAGACTTTCATTAGGCTCCAGAGAGTAAGTAGTCTGTTTTAACATAAGAGCACCCAGCAAGAACAACTCTGGGCTGGAGAGACAGCTCAGAGGTTAAGAGTACTTGCTGCTCTAACAGAAGATCCTGGTTTAGTTCCCAGCCCCAACATGGTAGTTCATAACCATCAAGTAACTCCAGTTGCAGGGAATCTGATGCTTTCCTTTGCCCTCTGGGGCCTCAGGCACCCACATGATGCAAAAATACATATGCAGGCAAAACACTCATACACATGATAAGATGTTTTAAACCTAAAAATAAAAAAGGAAGGCCTTGTCTAGAAAACAAAAAAACAGATCCTCATATCTGCTAACTACTTATTACTTGGACTTCCTAGCTCCAGTGACAAAAGACATTATATTATAGAATCTTGTTATCAAAACCAGAATAAACTAAAACACTTGCTGGTAATCATTTGAGTAAATTTGGGGAAACACTCCCCAAATCAAGCCATAAGATGATACCTGCCATGGTGGAATCCTATGAAAAATCAAGAGTTAGCCCAGACTTCTAGTTAACATTTGTTGCAATAAATAACAGCCTACATAACAAAAAATATAATTATCATTTTGGTTTTCTCTGAAATGTCTATATTTACTCTAATTGGAAGCACCTATGTAAGACATCATTTAATAGCCAATCTTCTAATCCAGAAATAAACAAATACCTCGTGCCCGGCGAGGAGTACTGAGAGGATGGCCATTGGTTTCACACCAGCCCAAAGGAAATATATTCATCGACTCCGCACTTACAATAAATTCAGGTACAGGCTTCTTAGAACCTGTTAGAATAAAAAAAAAAACAAATTTTGAAGTATTAAAGAGCTCCTTTTATAGGCTTTTTTATGGGTGTATGTATGTGTGGTTTGTTTAGCTTTCACGACTGGGCCTCACTAGGTAATACAAGCTAGCTTTTAAATAGTGATCCCCAGAATTATAGGCACGTACAACCAGATCTAGTCCTATACATTACTTCTTAAACTATACTGTAATAATATAGACACAAGTCTTTCAAGTAATAATCTTTCTCATGGAAGTCACTTTTTTTTTTTTTTTTTGGTTTTTCGAGACAGGGTTTCTCTGTGTAGCCCTGGCTGTCCTGGAACTCACTCTGTAGACCAGGCTCGCCTCGAACTCAGAAATCTGCCTGCCTCTAGAAGTCACATATTTTATGTTATATAAATATTTTGAAAAAATAAGTTGCTTTCTATGTATAACTTATAATAACCAAGAAGGAAGTATATACAAGTGACCTTTGGAAAAGAAACAGCAAAGAAGCAACTGGAGCTATGACTGGTGTCATTCAGATGACTAACAAGTATCAGTCATTTCCTTGAAATAACAAGAGTAAAAAGGTAAATTGTCAAGTTTACTTTACCAGAACTAATGTCTTGCATTCTTGGAGTAAACCTGAATATTGAACAAAGAATTCAAATCAGGAAAAGATTTGCCAAGTTGAATTGTAGATGTTGCATGGATGTCTGTGGTAAGTGTCATCCTTGATATCTGCATATCTGATATCAGTTCTATAGAAGGCATCTTTTTAGATACCATTTGACAATAGGATACAGAAAGAAGGCCACATACAATAGCGGTAGCATATTACACTTACATAGCTTCATTCACAAACTTGCTCAATCACTAAATATTACCTTAAGAAAGACAAATCAAGTTTGTCTACATACTACCTGGTTCTATTGTCTTGAGACAAACAAAATGTTATTTTTTCAATAAGTGAGGCAGTTAATGTTACATTAATGCATTTTGGTAACATCAAAATATATGTAATATTGATTTGCCCTTATGTTGTTGTTGTTTTTGTTTGTTTGTTTGTTTTGGTTATTCGAAACAGGGTTTCTCTGTGTAGCCATGGCTGTCCTGGAACTCACTCGGTAGACCAGGCTGGCCTCAAACTCAGAAATCCACCTGCCTCTGCCTCCCAAGTGCTGGGATTAAAGGTATGCGCCACCACTACGTGGTTTGATTTGCCCTTATGAAAATAAAGAACTTTAGAGTAAAGTTTTCACTTGCTTTCATTTCCTACAATTTAAAAGCCAAGGACAAAAGATAAAACTTTAGCTTAAAATCTTGTATTCAAATTAGATCAACTTTAGCTTAAAATCTTGTATTCAAATTAGATCACTATTTAACAAGTCCACCTAGCAAGCTAAACTACAGGGGTGATCAGGAAAAACAAAGGAATGACTACAGAAAACCTGTCAGGGGTGCTGGCACTTTACCTTCCAGCTGGAGCCACAGGTATGAGCCTCTCACTGCAGTAACGGTGGCAATGCACACTTCTTCAGGGAAAATAGGGTTCACTGCCTCCAGTTTCATGTTCTCCTTAAACTGGTGCTCAGAAATTGACTAGAAGAAAATCAGTGAATCAAATGCATTAAGTAGATTAATGCCTAGCATTAACTCATGTGCTCAACTGGTATGTTTTGTAAGCAGTATTTAATTCCTATATCTGCATTAAAGCAACAAGCATATTTTGTTCTGTTCTGTTTTCAAAGAAGCAAAAAGAAAATGTTTGGTTTTCCTTGGTAGAGTAGAAAAGTCTTTGGGTCTGACACTCTTGGATGGATAATCTGCTACACGGATAATGTAGCTTGAGTTGCAAAATCTATCTTGCTTGTTTCTTTGTCACATGGAGCTAAGAACACCTATCTTGCTAAGTTGTTAGGAAACAGCTATTAAATGAGAATCTTAAGGTTCTATGTCCCTGATCAAATGTCTTTCAATCACATTTGGCTCCCCTTTTTTCTTAGAGGGCACCATTATATCCATTAATATGTATCATAAAAGATAGTCAGGATAAAAAATACTACAAATAGAAGGAAACAAGTTTTAAGATTTAGTTGTTTTCCTTCCTGATAACTCATTAAAAATTGCTGTAGGTTTTTGAGAGTATAAACCTAGGGCTGTATAAATGGGCTCAGTGGGTAAAGGCACTTGTTTGATACCCAGAACCTATACAGTGGAAGGTGAAAACCAACTTCCACAAGTTGATTTCCACGTGTGTCATAACATTTGCACATGTACACATGCACACACAAAATAAATAAATTTAAAAATAAAACTATATCCTAGTAGGATGCTATTGTAGTTTGAATATGCTTGGACCAGGGTGTGGTACTATTTGGAGGTGTGGCCTTGTTGGAATAGGTATGGCCTTGTTGGAGAAAGTGTGTCACTGTGGGTGTGGGCTTTAAGACTGGCATCCTAGCTGCCTAGAAGCCAGTGTTCTCCTAGAAGCCTTCAGGTGAAGATGTAGAACTCTCAGCTTCTCTTGCACCATGCCTGCCTGGACACTGCTGTACTCCTGCTGTGATGATAAAGGACTTAAATTCTACACCTGTAAATAGCCCCAATTAAACGTTGTCCTTATAAGAGTTACCTTGGCTGTGGTGTCTATTCACAACAGGAAAATTTTAACGCAAATAACAAGAGAGGAAACTCAGCCTAATAAACATAAGCTAGTAGGGAAAAAAGCCAAGAACTGTTAGAAGCAGGACTAACACAACAGGAGGCACAGGAAAAGTAGCCCAGATAAGGACTGACTGATTTGCATGTTTCTTCTGCTTTGTTTCAGATAGGTCTTATGTAGCCCAGGCTGACCTCTAACTCTTGCTACATGCAAAGATGTGAGCTCTATTTCTGATCCTCTTACTTCTACCTTCCATGTGCTGAGATTGCAGCAATGCACCACCACACCTGGTTTATACAGTTTTGAGGACCTTACTCAGAGATCCATGCATGTTAAGAAAGCACACTAAAATGATTCTGAACTACACTCTACATTTTCTGTCTCTCTGCCTGTCTCTCGTTGTCTCTCTGTCGTTGTCTCTGTCTCTCGCTCTCTCTCAACTAAAAACAAAACATTTTTTTGAGATGGGGGTCTTACATTTAGAAATGACTGGCCTCACATCTACATCAATCCTCCTGCCTCAGTCCCCTAGAGCACTGGGATTGCAGATGTGTATCTTCATGCTTGGAAAAACCTCTTTTTCTTTCATTTCTTCTTTACTTTTTATTTATTTTTGACAAGAAGAATTTGTTAGAGACATTTTAAAAAACATTTAAATTATGGTATTATGTACTATTACATACTTCAGGGCAACTGTGTCTTTCCCTTCCCTACAGAAAGTGAGATTTATTCTCTGGAAAAGATAAAATACAAGATCTTTGGGCAGGAGGACACAAACAACTTTTAAGGTGTGTATATGTAGTGAAGGCCCAGCCATAGCCACTAGATATCATATAGGGGACATGAAAAAATCTTTTACAGTAATAGGCTAACCTATAAAGATATAAATTTAGGGTTTTCTTTTTTTCAATAAATGGCCAGCCAGAGCCTACTCTGTAGGAAGAGTCAATATTGACAAGCCTCATTTAAACATACTCAAAGTTTCTAATAAGTTTTTGTCTTAGTTCCCCATTTTTAAATACAAGCAGCAACCAAGGATGATCACCTATTTAAGTATATAAAAGCTACAGATAAAACCAGCAACTGGATAAAGCAGAGAGCATGTAAGGAAACCTTCCAATGTGGTATTAATTAACATCTAGGAGACAAGAAAATCTATTTCAAACTTAAAGAATCGCATGCCATTAAAAATAAAGAACTATTAGAGCTAGTGTGGTGGCACACGCCTTTAATCACAGCACTCGAGAGATAGAGGCAGGTGGAGAGATCTGAGTTCAAAGCCTGTAGGTCTACATAGTGAGTTCCAGGCCAGCCAGAAATAGAGAGATCCTATCTAGTCAGTGAGACTCTGTCTCAAAAAAAAAAAAAAAAAAAAACAACAAAAAAAACCAAAATGAAGAACTATTCAAAGAAATAGTTCTCAAAAAAACGTAAGAAAATGTAGTGTGATAAATTTTTTAAAAAGTTGGGGCTGGAGAGATGACTTAGAGGTTGAGAACATTTGCTGCTCTGGAAGAGGGCCCAGGTTTGGTGCCAGAGTCCACATGTGGCTCACTACCTTCTCTATTTCAACTTCTCAGGATCAGCCTTTGAGGGCACTGCACACAGGTAAACACACAAAAAATATTCAGACACATAAAAACAAAGACTTTATTTATCTAGATATTTTTCCAGACAGGTTTTCTTTGTGTAGTGGTGGCTGTCCTGGACCTTGATCTAGAGACCTGGCTGGCCTCAAACTCATAGAGATACGCTTGGCTCTGTCTCCCAAGACCTGGGATTAAAGGTGTGCACCATCACCTAGGAGTTCTTTTCCACTTTTTTGGGGGGCCTGTACTTTCTACAAAGGGAAAAAGGCAGGCTATCTGCAACTTCCTACAAGGAAAGGCTGGTTTATATACAGAAGTCAGGAGTAAAAATTGTCTAATGACTTCCAACACACTAAAGTTAGACAAGTAATATTGTTAGAATACTGAAGCAACATCCAACCTAACTTTCATATTAAGCTAAACTATGAATATGTCCATAGACTGAAAATTACAATATATATTATTTATTAAAATTGACATGGCCCTTATATCCATGTTTTAAGGAGCTACTAAGCAATAGCAAAACAACCACAGAAGAGGCCTGAGAGGTATCTAAGCAGGTAATAGCATTTTCTATGAAAGCAGGAGGACCTGAGTTCAAATCCTCCATACTTATGTAAAAAGCTAGGTAGATCCCTGTAATACCAAAATTACATTTTTTGGTGCATGGTGCAGAATGGCAAGTGATGCCACAGGCTTTCTGACCATGAGTCAGCCTCTTAGAAATAGAAAGCCTCAAGTTTAGTGATAGACCCAACCTTTTAGAAATGTGGCGAGATACAAGGAGACACTCAACATCACCCTCTAGCCTGTACACATGTACGTACACACACACAGAGACACACACATCCCACATGACAGTGACAAAACTACTTGATAAGCCTCAAAAGCAGCCTGTCCAGAGAGAAAAACAGTAGTATTAGAAACAGTGATCTTCTGATTGGACTGCCTTTGTGATATTAGTAACAAGAAGCTACTAGGTAATAAGGGAAGAGCTAGCAATAAACATAAAGAACGTTAACCAAACAGGGTCAAAACAGCAATTATTAACATAATTATAAACTGCAACTATAAAGACAAATGTTTAAAAAAAGGAAATAATCATAAAATCCTGAAGCAGTCACTTGTTAATGTTTGCAAGCACATAATGCAAAACCTCAACCAAAACATCACAACTAAACAGTAAAGGTTAAGACGAAAGGGAAAGTAACATAAAACAGTTAATTGTTCATTTACTATAATGTCATCAACATAAGTCTCTAAAATTAATACCTCAAAATATAATGCATCATATTATTTTGAAAATTATTGTTGTATAAATACAAGAATTACAGCAAAAGAAAAATCTAATGTGGTCACTGTATAAACTGAGGACATGACTTCTCCAAGGAATGGTTGAGAGGAGCATTTTTATTGTAGCTATGAGGTAGAGTAGAGCCAGAAGCATCTGGAAGAGTCCAGAGCAGGGAGAGAGTAGAGGACTGAACACGGCCCACAGGCTGGATGGGACCATGAGGGGGGAGGGGGGACAAAGGGAGTTCAGGCAAAGGAGAGAGGCCAGAGAGATGCAGCCAAGAGAGTGACTAGACAAAGCCCAATCCACCGATTATAAAGGCATGAGAAGCTGAAGGAAGGGAAGCAGTGAGCTGAACAAGTCTAAGGTAGGAAGCAGAGCTGAGAAGAGGCACTTTTGATACTGAGGGAGACTGGAGGCCACCACGTACTTTAATATGCTAATAGGCACCACAATGTTTCTTTTGGACCTTACATTCAGTTTGAGGAGGGGGCTTGCAAAGGAACAACATAGACATTGTTCTACAGTCTCAGTTTGTATTGTAACTAGGTTCTCCTGCCTATTGTTTTGTATGTATTAACTAATTAATTAATTTGACAGAAATTACTATTGTAGATCTGGATGGCCTGTGTAGACCAAACTGGCTTCAAACTCACAGAGAGCCACCTGCTGCAGGCTGGGATTAAAGGCAAACAGCACATGTACAGCCAGAGGGTTATTTTTGACACAAGATTTTGTTAAGGTAAACCTGTCTGATCCATGGCAATCCTACTGCCTCAGCCTCCCAAGTACTGGAATTACAGGTACATGCTACCACACCCAGCTGCTATTTGGCCTGCTCTGTTTTACTCATTTTTTTGGGACAAGGTCTTGCCATACTGCCCAAGATGACCTAGAACTTGCTATGTACCATAGTGGCACTACACTCATAATCCTCCTCTCTTGCCCCCGCCTCTTAAGCATGGCTCTCAGCCTTCCTAACGCTGTGTATTAAATACAGTTTCTCATGGTGTAGTGACACCCAGCCATAAAATTATTTTTGTTGATAATTCATAACTGTAATTTTGCTTGCTATAAATAAAATATAAATACCTGATATGCAGGGTATCTGTTTTGTGAACACTGTAAAAGGGTCAACCCACTCCCAAAAGGGTTGTGACCCACAGATTGAGAACTACTGCTATTATAAGTGTATACCACCATATCTAGCTTAAGAGTGATGTCTTAATTATTTGGCCTTTTAAAACATGCTCATGTATTGTTGGAAGTATTTTTAAACAAATGTAACCATTCTTCTCTAATATTAACAGTTTTGATATTATTGAACTACTAAATTATGAAATAAAATTTCAAATTCACATGACCTTACCTAGTAAGAAAAAAATAAAATATATAAACTTGTAAAACTAATTTACTTAGCAAACTACCTTGTATAGCAAGTGTGTTTTTCTTTGGAACTGTTTTACGATTAACAAGGTAGTTATCTGGGTTACCTGAGCTGACTAACTTTGGAGTAACAGTCACATGGGAGCACCACAAAATCCCAGCTTGAAGCAGTTCCACAAGGGGTCTCACCTGCGGGAAGCACTTCTGGGGAGCAGCTTCAGCACCACACTGTTTGAGGTAGTCAGCCCAGTCAAAGTCCTGGCTCCGGAAACCTACACAGAGACAGAAGAGCGATGACTCACATCCGATGTGCCTGCTGACTCTGCCAAGCTGTCCAGTCCTAGTGCCACTTTGATCAATGTGGAGGGGCACTCTATACATTTTTCATGCTAGGAAACTGAGCCCAGGACTGTTTACAACTAGTTTTATGAAACAGAATAATTCTAGGCAAATTATAATTATATAATAAAATTCAAGAAATAAGTGTTTAAACTTCCAAAATTCAAACCAGGTATTTTTGGAGCAGTATTATTGTATGGCTAGTTACTGGCAAGTTGCCAAGAGTTAAAAAAAAAAGTTATACAGACTTTATTTTTTATATACAAATTCTGCATTATTGATTTTATTAGTACTTTCCATTGGTGAGGACTTTTTCTTGACAAGGCTATTTGCTTTCCTTAACATGTCTTAGCTAATACCAATATATAGTGACTTTTTTTTAAAAGATAGGATCTCATGTAGCTCAAGATATTTTGGAACTCAAATAGCCAAGGATGACCTTGAACTTTTGACCCTCCTGCATCATCTCCCTTCCAAGGTCTAGAATTACAGGCATACACCACCACACCCTGGCTCTGATGTAATACTCTTAATACTGTTTTCAGATTCACGTACTACAGAATCTGTCTAACAGTCTTAGAAATGGAGAAGATGGTGAGCACAGGGATGCAGCTGGATACAGAAAGTAATTTCTAATGTCTTTACTAAAGTAGAGATGAACTCAACATCTGAAGTTACTAATCCACATCGACTAAACCACTGAGAGAGAAGATTTAACTGTTCACAATACAAAGAACATTTTATCTGACAGACAGTCTATTACACCAACCTGATCATTATACATTGAATATACATATTAAAATGCTAACCTGTACTCCACAAATGCATATAATGTGTCAATTAAGAAAGCATTTTAAAACTCTAAATGTTCTTATAGTCATCAACTCAGACTAAAAGAAACAACTCTCGACTTCAGCAGTTTATCAAGGTTCTTGGCAGAAAACTAGTGTCTGACTCAGCCCCATCTATGGGGGAGGAGTTGTGTAGTTGAGGTCCACTTTGTCTAAATTGTTCTATTTCAGAGCTTAATCACAGGCTACTCAAAACTGTGTCTTCCTAAAGGTAACAGCCTCTGAACCCCCCTTTCTTGCTCGAACAAAAAGGGCTTCAGCTCTTCTTTCTCTGATCCAATCTCACTTCCTGATAAAACATCATTTTCTGACATGTTTCTTTCTTAAATATTTTATATATGTGTAAGTGTATACATATATGTGTGGGTGTATTCACACATGCATGCTGGTAGCTGTAGAGTCCAGAAGGAGGCACCAGATACCCTAGAACGAGAGTTGTAGGCAGCTCTGAGCACTGAGGTGGATACTGAGAGCTGACCTCTGGACTTCTGCAGAAGTAGCAAATGCACTTAGCCAATGTGCCTCCTTTCAAAGCCCCAGTGTCATTTTCGTTTACATAACTCACTACTTCCCCTCTGTTTACAAGGTCAACTGGCTGTCCACAGTATGCCCAGAGCTCCTGTACCTCACCTTTAATACTTGCTTTCTCCCTTTCACACAAAGGTAGCAAGCAGTATGTAGAACTTGATATATCCTGTGCTTTCCTATAAAGCAACATGTTCCTAGTGTAAGTGTTCATACCACACCTTCCCATCAGATAGTCCTGTGTTCTGCTCTCTGATGGTAGAGAACCTGGGAAGTTCTGTGCATCTTTTCTCCCTCAAATCTCTCGAAAGGCTAGATTATACCTGTCTCTACCTTCTCAGTGATAAATTCAATACATGTTCATAGCAAACACTGAAGAAATGTTTACTGGATGAATGAAGGCTGAGTGGAAGGTAGTTTTAAGTTTATGATCCTTGCTAATGTAAGAGTGCTTCCAGTACAATGTCTCAGCAGTTACCCTTCAAGTGAAGGCTTGTTTACCAAATACCTACTAAGTCAAAACGATCTGGTTTGCAAATAAATTTAGTGAAATCATACTTCAGTGCTTTGATCAGAGGATCAAATATCATATTTTACAAAGTTACAAGAACAAGTAAAATGAGCTGTTACTCATTTTAGATCTTGATCATAAATTCCCTGACTAGTCACCTCCACTACATGGCATTAACACCTTAAAAAAAAAATCATCCATCTTCTAGCTCTGGACCAAGAAGGTAGATCTAAATGCTCAGTGTTTACCAAGCCTACTGTGCTAATCAGTTTTTGTCAGCCTTACACAGACGGACATATCTGGAAAGAGAAAATCTCAACGGAGGGACTGCCTCCATCAGGCTGCCCCACGGGTGAGTCTGTAAGGCGTTTTCTTTTTTCTTTCTTTCTTTTTTTTCTTTTTTTCTTTTTTTTTTTTGGTTTTTTGAGACAGGGTTTCTCTGTGTAGCCCTGGCTGTCCTGGAACTCACTCTGTAGACCAGGCTGGCCTCAAACTCAGAAATCCGCCTGCCTCTGCCTCCCAAATTCTTGGACTAAAGGCGTGCGCCACCACCGCCCGGCAAGTAAGGCGTTTTCTTGAGTCGTGACTGATAATAGGAAGACCCAGACTAATGTGGGCACTGCCACCTCTGAACAGGTGGTCCTGGGCTGTATAAGAAAGCAGTCTGAGCAAGCCATAAGAAGCAAACCATTAAGAAGAATTCCTTTATAGTCCCCACTTCAGTTTCTGCCTTGAGTTCTAGCATGAGCTTCTTTCAGTGATGGGTTTTAAGTTTAAGATGAAATAAACCCATTCTTCTCCAAAGTTGTTTTTGGTCCACAGCTTATCACAGCAACAGAGAACCAAAGTGGGCACAGTCATTCCTCTGTGACCTCCCAACAGATCCCAAATGGAGCAGATAAGGGAACCAGAACAGAATCCAGGCTTGAACATGTCCTTCTACCTAGCTATACAGATACATGTCAAACAATGAGAAAAACACATCCTGACACTTTATTAGCTTATGACTTCACATATTACACAATGAGCTGGGCGTGGTGACACAGCACTCAAAGACAGGTGGAGTTCTTTGAGTTCAAGGTTAGCCTGGTATACACACCAAGTTCCAGGCCAGCCAGAGCTACAAAGTAAGACCCTTTCTAAATAAATAAATTAATTAAAATACAGATCTCATTTATCTTATTTTGAACCTCCATGATACTCAAGATAGGAGGTATAAAAGATCTTGGCAGTGCCATCCAACACATATTTCAAGGGCTAAGGCTGGTGGATTAGGAATTTAAGGGCATCATGTGTCATACAGTGAGAAGACACACTCTGCTACATAGTGAGACCCTACATAATTAATAATAATAATTTTGAGAAACAACATAGTAAGAACTCAACTCCATACCTGGAGGAGGGTTGATGTGTAAACCATTCTTTAGACTCCACTGCACAGGAAAGATACCAGGACTGTTAGCATGGCACACAAACGACCGCCTTGTATGGTTTTCTGGTCGAAGGTCATCCATTTCCACTAGAAAGTACTTATCATCAAAAACCTATGTAATTAACAGATAAAACCAACAAATGGTTTATGTGTGTTTATATATATGTTAGATATATATACATATACATACAAACACACACACATATATATATATAATGTACAAACATATCTAACACACACATATTTGTACTTTCCTTGGCATAATCAAACATGTTATGTAAGTTCATTTATACTCAGAATAGATTATTAAAATATTTGGTAAATGTTAGTTTTAGGATAGGTAACTAAAAAATAATGTCTTTCAATATTTACTGTTTTACTTTTTGTAATAATCTAATGAAGTAGGTACCATTTTCAATTCCATTATTAGGTAAAGGAAATTAATCCAAAGAAAGGTAAAGTAATTTACCCAGGTTACATAGTCAAGAAAGTGTAAACCTGAACTCAAGCCAAGTTATTTGTGTTCAAAGCAAAATTTAGTTTAAGCTTAGCAAGGGGTCAACTACATTACTATACTAACTTCAAATGGCAGAATGGGAATTAATAAATGTCCTCTGGAACCTAAGCATCCCATATTTCTCCAGACTCCAGAGAAGGTTAGAAGGTCTTAGTCTGAGTCTCACTATCTGTTTCTGTCTCTGTGTCTTAAAGATTTATCTTTATTTCATTACTTACATGTGTGGGTGTATATGTATGTGTGTATATATGCCATATGGGTGTATGTGTTGAGAAGAAGGTCCTAAAGCTGTAGTTATGAGTGGTTATAAGCTACAATGTGTAGATGCTGGGAAGTAAACTGGTCCTCTGTTAAAAGCAGTAACTGGTCTCAACAACTGAGCCATTTCTCCAGCTTCCACTTAAGAAGCTGTCTTAAGATTTCTTAAGACAGGTTCAGAAATCACTCACTGCTCTGAGAATAATCTTCCACTACTCAAAGAAAATGTAAATCTCATCAAGTCAGACAAGCATCCTAATAACTATTCCCACATAGTTATAATCCACCTTGGGCTCTACTTCCACTAAATGGTCTTCTGCTCTAGACCTAAAACAAACGCTATCTACCACACAGTAACCCAGTAACTGTACCTTGACAGTGTGGCCAGCTGCTGTGGTTACTCTTAAAAGGAATTAATTTTGTCAGCTGCTTGAGGGATTAAAGTCTGATTCTGGAATGCACAGCTGTAGCTATCCTATTGATGATGCTAATTCTGTGATTCACATAGGTCTCTCACTGCCCTATTTAGATAAATGATGGCACTGCCTGGATTCATACTTTATAAACACCACAGTCCACAGACCAGCCAAGCCCTTTCTAGTTGTACAAAATAAGGCTTGCCTCCAAACAACACTCCCTCTACTACTTTGATGCCCTTACTCTGCTCTGCCTTGCCTGTACAGGACTACTAAGCTCTGAAAAAGAAAGGGCACATACACACAAACTGTACAATACAACACAAATATACAGAAGAGATTCTGGTTTTATAATGAATTGTATTAGTATAGCTTAAAGATAAAACCATCATAATTTCCTCAACTAGTCACCCTGATAGCAATTCTTTCCAGAATAATTACTCCCATTTCACCTTAGCAATTGTAGCAGGAGAAATCCCAAAAGGAGACCATGGGTCCACAGCTTCCAACTTCATGTTTATAGAAAATTCATGGGTTCCAATAACTTGCTTATCCTGAAATGTATACAACAAAAAGGTAAAAATATGTATCACTGAATTAATTTACACTTATATATAGTTGAGTATTTGTAATAATCAATCTTCACGGCCAATGAGACTGAATTCAGAATCACTAGGTGACATGCATGCTTCTGGATCTGCCTTTTAGAGAATTTCCAGAGAAGTTTAACAAAGGAGGGAAGAGATCTGTTCTGAACATGGAGAATGTTACCCTTCTGAGCTATGGTCCTAGACTGAATTTGAAATGGTACAAATTGAGCCGAGCACCAGCATTCAGTTCTCTTTGTTTCCAGCTTGCATGTGTATTGTAACCAGACACTTCAAGCTCCTGTCTCCATGCTTCCCTGCCATGATGGTCTATAGCCCTTCAAACAATGAGCCCAACTAAGCCCTTCACTCCTTAGGTTGCCTGTCTCAGGTGTTTCATCACAGCAACAAGAAAGGTAATCTAGTTAATTAAGATAACACAATTGTTAAGATTCTTGTAAATCCTGATTTTTTCCCCTGGGAAAATCTATTCAGGATAACAACAATGACTACTCATAGAAAGTATTCCTCTCTATACCTGGGATATAATGGACATCTGGAAGAAAAATCAAATTTATTTCTTAACTAGTTATGGTTATGTACTTAAGACTAGAAAAAAAAAGCTGGATGGTGGTGGTGCACACCTTAAATCCCAGGATTCAGGAGGCAGAAGCAGGCAGATGTTTTGAATTAGTGGCCAGCCTGGTCTACAGTGTGAGCTCCAGGATGGCCAGGGCTATTACTAACCCTGTCTCAAAAAACCAAAACAACACACTAGAAAGGAAAACATTCAAATAGCTTGAAGAGGATCTGGAGAGAAACCCAAGCAACTGCGAGCCTGCATGGTCCCTGCAGTGTGACCCCTCCTTCCACACCAGAGCCACAGCATCTCTTGTCTCCAGTGATTATTTCTCATTCCTTACCTCCCCTAATTTTCCTTCTCTACTGTAAGGAGAAAATCTGTATTTTTCATGAGTTTCTGTTTTTACCTTAAATAAGTAAGAGGGTAATGGCTCTTCCTCTTTCACTTTGGCCAAAATCTCTTGCCAGTCAGCTTCATTTTTCAGATGCCTGATGGCTTTAGTGAGACAAAACAGCATGTTTTAAGAGGAGAAAACCTATATACAGCTCAATTTCTGAAAGCATTCACATAAACAGAAGTATTTCCCACTATACGTTAGAAAAGGGTTCAGGACTTTTAACACCCACCTTCATACATAAGAACTTACACCTTAATTTCAGTACTGGACTCTGTTTAGGAGGCCAGAAAATTAAAATTTGTTCAAATATCTACAGTAAGACAACAAGTATTGCTGTGGAACATGAAATAAAGCAATAAATACTCAAACCGGATTATATAGTAATAGATGAAGTGATCATGAAGGGAAAGAATGAGGTATAATAATCAGTATGCATGCTAAGTTATTAAGTGTAATAATAAAATCAAAGAGAAATGGACACTTAATTTTGTATAAATATGAAATACTTTATGTGAATTAAGGTTTTCATCATATATAGAATACATTTTCAGCCTCATAGATATTAATAAAAAAATAATAGAAGTTTATAGGAAAGTGCTTTTACTCTTTACCTAATGGGGGCTGAAGTTCATATCCTTGCTGAGAAGCCCACCCAATGTGATGAAGAAATGGATCTAAGTAATACAACCAGTGTTCAAAACCGTCATGACTTTCAAGTCCTTCATACTGCAGCTTCAACCGGCCTCCAATGTTCTCCACAACAGTAACAATCCAAGTGCTTAAAGAGTCCCGAAAATCTTGGCATTCGAGTCTGGATCCTGGAGCAATGAGATCTAAAGGATTCCTTCCATTACGGAGCTGTAGATTAAAATGCGAAATTGGAAAGGTTAGTTTCATTTTAAAAGTCAAGTTCTAACCGTTTTTTCAAACTAGTTTTAACATTGTTTTACTCACCCCAAAACAGTGGCACAAAATTACATTGTCTACAGATAGCCTCCCACAATATCACTTCTAGATATTAATATGTTTGTCATAAAGAAAACCTTAACTTGTGACACAATAAAATTATTTTAACAAAGATCTCTAGATTATTATTTCATTTAGTATATATACATTTTCTTATTTTTCAAGACAGTATTTCTCTGTGAAGTCTTGGTTATCCTGGAACTCAATCCATAAATCAAGCTAGTCTCAAACTCACAGAGATCTACCTGCCTCTGAGTGCTGGAATTAAAAGCATGTGGCAACACTGCCTGCCTTCATTTACTATAATTTTTAAAATGAAATTTTGTCTCTGATTGTGAAAGCAAATTCGATTACCATTAAAGAGAAAATCAACTACACTTATACTCTTTTATAATCCTAAAGACCTAAAAAGATCACAGTAAATACTTGGTCATACACTACACACAAGTGTGCATTTCTACTTCTCTTGGTTCTCATTCTTTTTCTTATCTTTTTTCAAAATATATCTTGTTTTTCTCTTATCACAGATCTATTTTTATTAGAGCCGATATAAGTTTTCCCTACCTTTTAAATTGTTCTTAGAACTTTACATGTAAGTGAACAATAATGTATTCACTTTTGATGAGATTTTACTTGTTTCTGGTTTTTTTTTTCCACCCATTTGACAATGTTCTTGTGAACGCAGTAAATACTTTTGGTTACAGGGAAGGGAAAGGAAAATTTACAGGCTAGATGAGTAGCTCAACAGTTAGGAGTATGTCTCACAGACGACTTTCACACCTATTCACATCTATTAATTTATTAAAAATTAATCTGAGTATTAAAAAAAATTAAAAGTTGTTTGAAATAGAGTGTTCATGAATAGGTGTGAGTTTGGTTCCCAGTACCCAGGTCACAGGGCTCACAAATGCCTGTAAGTCCAGCTCCAGGGGATCTGACACCCTCTCCTGGCCTCGACAGGCACTCATACATTCCTGTACAAACCCACACTCAGACACATACATAACTAAAAATAAAATTATAAACTGGACATGATGGCATGCATATTTAATCCTAGAACTCAGGAGCAGAGGCAGACAGATTTCTGTGAGTTCCAAGGCTACCATAGACTATACAGGAGTATTTGAGGCTAGCCAGAGCTACACAGTAACTCACACACATTCATATTATACAGAGAGAGAGAGAGAGAGAGAGAGAGAGAGAGAGAGAGAGACCAGGAAATTGAAAGAAAAACTTAAATTTTACTATCTAGATAATGTATCTGAAACTACAATAAATAACAGTCAGATTCCCAGCACCCATGTAAACTTGGGTTTGGAGGCAGGTATCTATAATATCAGCACAGGGAAGACAAAGCTCGAAGGATCCCTGAAAGGTTGCTGGCACTGGCTGCAACATTTTTTCCTAGTATAAACTTCACAGAGTACTGCTCTGTGAAGTTTTCATATCTAGATGTATAAAAGAACAACTGAATGAATGGATTAATATATTAATAGTTACAAGTTTCAAGATGGTAGAATCACAGTCAATGCAGGGCAAGGATATTTTATCTGTTCATTGTTCACAACCTCATTCATTTATTCATTTAATTTTTACCAGGTGTTTGAAATATGCCTAGACCCAGGTAAGAATAAAAAATTAATCTGAGTATTGAAATAGAGTGTTCATGAATAGGTGTGAAAGTATGTATCAGTAGAACTTTTAAAGACAACTGACTCAGAAATTTCCCAGGCACTAAGTGCAACTTCTGAGACTAAACATTCCAATACTTATGCTTGTAACTCTAACATTGTTTCTTTTTTTCCAAAGTGGTAAATTAGTAATCAGTTTTGGATTCCTTGCAAAGTTTTTCTATCCTGGTTTAAGCAGTGATACTCACGTCCTCTAGCAGAGACACAGGAGGACCACAGGCTCCTCTCAGGGTCTGCTGTAGGAATGTATTCCAATCAGACACTTTATCTCTGATGCCTAAATGAGAGAAGAAATGGTTATTAGTCATGTCATAGAACACAAAGAAACTTGACATACAGAAACTGCTTACAGGTATATTTATCATTTAAAAGTCAGTGTGTTGCTTTTTTGAGAGCTTGAAAAGACAAAACAAAATAGCTACAAAACTACTCTTCATGGAGCCATGTTCTGGCTAGTTTTGTCACCTTCATATAAGCTAGGGTCATCTGGGAAAAAGAAATTCAAATGAGAAAATGTTCCCATCACACTGATCTGTATAAAAAGTCTGTGGTGCACTGTCTTGATTAATGACTGATGTGGAAGGTACCAAGCCTGGGCAGGTAGTATTGAGATGTATTAAGAAAGCAGGTTGAGCAAACCATGGGGAGAAAGCCAGTAACAATATTCCTTCAAGGCCTCTGCTTCAGTTCCTGCCTTGGTTTCTCTCAACGGACTATAGCCAGTGATAGATAGATAGATAGATAGATAGATAGATAGATAGATAGATAGATAGATACCAAATAAACTTTTTCCTGCTCACACTGCTTTTGGCCATGGTCTTTGTCACAGCAATAGAAACCAAACTAATATAGCTACTCTCTAAGAATTGTATGTAAAACAGAGACTATGAAGTTGTACACAAAATAATCCCCTTAACTCAGTTTTACTTTTAAAAAAATGCCTACTTCATTTTTATTATAAAAAATGTCAAACATGAATAAAAACACAGAAGAGGGCTGGGCATGGCAGTGCATGCTTTTAACCCAATACTTTGGAAGGTTGAGGCAGACAGATCCCTATGTGCTCAAGGCCAACCTAATCTAAGCAGCAAGTTCCAGGCCAGGGCTACATAGTGACACTCTGTCTCAAAACTCTCTCAACACACACAAACAGACACGTACACATCCACTTGTGCCCTAGTCCTGCCCCATATATTTTCTACAAATCAAGAGTTAGAGGCAGAGCTTGATCAACTCAGGTCTAATTTTTCTGGAGAGGGGAGAGTAAAAACATTTCACAAGCAGAATTATATCCTTCCACAAAGAGGCATATAAGGTCTAGTTGTCCCTCTGTGACATTAATAGCTTTTGTACATATTGTGTGTGTGTGTGTGTGTGTGTGTGTGTGTGTGTGTGTGTGTTTGTGTCTGCATGTGTGTTATGTGTGTATAACTGTTTGTAATCACCTGTGAGCACACATGGGGGGCACACACTCATACACATTAAAACAAACAAACAAACAAACAAAACCACTCATCCACATGAAATAAATAAATTTAAAAAGTAAAGTCCACAACAGTGAGTTTATACCACTATTCACACACTGTCCTCTACTACTGTTTTAGAAATGATACTCTATCTACACTGTGTTCTTATATTACCATGTGTCTCTTTATAGTATTAAAAATCACTTGTTTGGTTTTCTGAACCTCATTTTTTTTTCAGAGCAAAGTTTTTTTTTTTTTTTTCTGTGTAACCCTGGCTATCCTAGAATTCACTTTGTAGACCAGGCTAGCTTAAGCTCAAGAGATCCACCTGCCTCTGCCTCCTGAGTGATGGGATAAAGACATGAACCACCCCACCCAGCTTAGATGGAAACTTACTCTTCACACATGACAAAAAAAAAAAAAAAAGCAACATGTAACTCATAGCTTTTGCTTTTTTCTAAAAAGAAAAAAATGCTAGAATTATTATTAAAAGTAAAAAAAAGCTAGAATTATTATTAAAAGTAAAAAAAAAGATCTAAAGACTAAATAATAGCATTTTACCAGATTTACTTTTCTGATTTTGATATTTTACTGTAGTGTTCATGAATGAATGTATTATTTAGAAAGACATTAAAGTTTCTATAGGGGTATCATGTCTAAAGCCTGTGGAGCAGGGAGAAAGGATATAGAAAATGTGATAAAATATAAACAACTGGGAAAACTACACAAAGAGTCATCAAGAATATTTTTATACTATCCTTACAAACTCAATGTAAATCTGAAACTAAATCAAAACAAGAAATTATAAATATAAAAAGCCCTGAGGTTTTTTTTTTAAATCTGCAATCTTTCTTCCTTAATCCACATCTTTGTCTTCTCCTTTAAATTTTTTTTTACACTTACTTTATTTTACATACTGAGTATTTTGCCTGTGTATATGTCTGCATACCACATGTATTCCTGGTGTCCACAGAAGTCAGAAGGTGGTATTGGATTTCCCGTTACTAAGAGTTGTGAGCCATTTGTGTACTGGGAATCAATCCCAGGTTCTCTACAAAAGCAGGAAGTATTCTAAACCATTAAACCACCAAGCCACCTCTCCAGGCCCTTCTCCCTTTTTAAATTTTATTTTAATTTTTTGGTCCTTTGTATCTCCCTCCAATTTAATTTATGGCCTACTGTAAGTAGGGTATGGAGCTTCCTGGAACAGAGCTTCAGTAGGCTCATTTAAAAAATCCATAGTGCCAAATACCTATAATCCCAGCATTTGAAGGGCTGAGGCAACAAGGCTTGCCATGTTTGAGGTTAGCCTGTGCTACAGAGTAAGACCCTAACTAAAAGAAAAAAGTCTGTAACATAGTTTACAGAATTACTTATGGGTAAAAGGAAAGAGTAAAGACAGAACCAGGGAATGGTGTTACAGGCTTGAAATCTCAGTTACAAAGGAAGGTTTAAGCAAGAGGTTTTCAAGTTAAAGGCTGGCTTAACTAAAGAGTTATACTCTGTATCTACAAAAAAAAAAAAGCTGGTAAGGAGGTTGAGTCTATCAATCTGTCCTGCAATAAGGTCAGGTATGTTAGCATATACCTGTGATCTTAGCTCTCATGATGATCATGACTTTGAGGCTTCTGTGGACAAGCCCTATGTACTCACAGGCATACACAAAACCACACATGCAAGCACACACACCTGAATACATACACACACACACACAATAAAAAATCTAAAATATTAAAATAACAAGATAAATCATAGATATGATTTCATTTTAAAAACAGAGAAGCATGTATTACTCCCGATAAAAACTATCATTCAAAACATTAGCCTAGAATCTTTATGAGAGTAGACTGAAATACTTAAGACTGGCCAATCTAAATTTTCTTACAGAAATATCCCATCATTTTACTACCTTCTGGAGCTTCGAGAGTCTTCTTATTCTGCTGACACCACCCGAGGGGATAGAGACCAGCTTTCCTGATATCACACCAGAAGTCTGCTTTTCTGTCTTCCCCATAGCCTTCATAACGGAGCAGGAGCAACTGCTCACAGGCGGTAATGATGGTGGCAACCCAGTAAGTCTCAGGATCTTTTTTCAGAGCTACCTCCAGCTTCATCCCAGGAGCAAATCCATTTTGCAAACGTATGTCCACCTAAAGACAGAATGTTATGAGGTACCAGACAAAACACTGCATGAGTGTTTCTCTACCTGAAGTTCTTTTAAAGACCTAATATTTCTTAAACCCTAATTGTCTTGTGATATCAAACAGAAATTATCAAAACATGATGTGTGCAGGTCAAAAGGAAGTAAAAGATAGCCAAAAGGATCTCCCATTGGTGACAGTTGCAAGCCAAAAAAAATAAATATAGAGAAAAATGATAGAAAAATATAAGCAGGTGATTCTCAACCACAGTTCCAGCACTCAAGAGACGGAGGTAAGAGGACCATGAACTCGAAGCCCGCCTGGGCTACATAATGAGATCTTATCTCAAAAAAAAGGAATGAACATAACTATCATCAGACAAACATCATATAAATAAGCACAGCCAGCAAGAATTATTGACAGATGCTAAAACTACTACAATGAAAACAATCTTTGCATGATCTCAAAAAAATCACTCTACAAAATTCTTACCAACTGAAAAAGGCAAAATAGTAACACTACAGTGAGTAAAACTGGCAGATATCACTTTAAACTGATCAAAGTTAATAGGATTCCTAAAACATCGATATTGCAATTCTTGCACTTCCCTGATGTCATACAAGAAAAGGCACTTGTTTCCTCTGGCATGCTTGCCACATCTGCATATACTTAAGTTAACCATGGGGGTGGGGGAGGTCCAAATTGAGAAATACCACATAAAATAATGACATGCAGAACACATTCTTTAAAAGAATCAAGTTCATGAAGTAAGAAAGAAGGCTAACTGGAGGAGACTCTGGATATGACAAACAGAGCAAGTCAAGGGCATGGGGGAACCTGCCACCAAGCTTTACTTTCTGAGTTCAAGCCCTGGGAGAACCTGCACGTTGTCCTCTAACCTCCAGACATGCACTGTGGCAGCTGACACACATTTATACTCACACAAATAAGTAAACATATAATAAAAACTAAAAAAACCAAATGGAAATGTAGTCAAAGTCATTGGATAATGAGAGTCAAGTCCTTAAATGAGCCAAAGAAGCTAAGGTAATGATTTTTTTTAAATAAATCTTACTTTCTTAAAATAAAAAGTGAAAGTATAGTGTGAAATTCACATTCAAAAGTTTTTTTTCTCAGAAATCTAGCACATGTCCAAAAAAATTTTATACTGTCTCTCTAGGATAGTTCTAAACAATTCTAAGAACTGATGGATCTTAAGATTCAAGACAGAGAGCATGTTGACTTATCAGTTACTTCTGAAGATTCTGTTTTGTATTTTCAAAGGAACTACTACCCCAATATGCAGGTAATATCCTGAGACCAGGTTTTTGCAAGTCATTTAACACTTAAAACTGACTCCATTAAATCTGTGCTGTCCATAACTGAATCTTGCCAGTAAGTGTTTCAGAGTTCAAAGTTCAAAACCCAAGGAAGTAACAGTTTCTATCCTAAAAACACAGCCCACCTCCACCACCCACTCCTCCTCAACTAGGGGCTCTGCTGGACAAACTGCTACCACAGCTATAATCACTGGAACAAGTCTCTGGTTTTAAGAACTAGTATCATGAACACAGTCTAGCCTGCCTCTGTCTGCTCTGCAGTGAAAGACTTCTGTCCAGTGAGTCTTCATCTCCCACATGGTCACCTTGGTGGCTTAGGAACTGGCTTTTAGCTTGTGGGTTTGGGACATTTAATTAGTTATTAACAGTCTCTCAGTTTTCACTGACAGTGCCAACGAAATTTTGTAAAAAATAAAAAGTTCTGAACACAGAATCACACCATTAGAATTGTTTTTATCCATGATTTATTTTATCATTTCCCTAATCAGCCCTAAATTTAAAATTAATCTTCCCACATCTGGGTGTGGTGGCACACACCTTTCATCCCAGCACTTGAGAGGCAGAGGCATGCAGATCTCTGTGAGTTTTCAGCCAGCCTGGTCTGCAAAGCAAGTTCCAGGACAGCCAGGACTACAGAGAAACCTTGTCTCGAAAATGAAAAGCAAATAAACAAAAATCCTTCTCAATCTTCCTCTCTCCTCAGTCCAGCCTCAACCATCAAAAATGACCTTCACAAACTAAACAATGCCTTCTTTCCAAAGTGTTAACTCTGCATTTTCATAAAGTTTCACATTCTCCACTGGCCCAGCACTGGGATTACAGGTGAGTGCAACTATGCTAGATTTTTTATGTGGGTGCAGGAAATCTGAACTGAAGTACTGGTACCTGCATGTCAAACATTGCACTAATTGAGCCATGTTCCCAGCCCCAGACTTTCTTTCCTTAACCTCTCACAGGTATATAAAACAATGGTTTCAGTCTTGCTTGGTCCAGTATTTCCTTCATATGCCCACTTTCCTCTTAGAATGGTAATGTATATTCCTTGTCAATGTACATTAAGAGTACATAATTTGCTTTTTATAGGGGTTATGATTAAGAGATTTCCTTGAGTCTCAGCAGAGACTTTGGACCTTTAAACAGTCCTGACACTCAAAAACTATGGGGACTTTTGAAGTTGGACTAAATGCATTTGGCATTAAGATATGGCTGTTGGACTAAAGGGACAGGGAGAAGAGTGTGATTGTTTAAATGAGAATGGCCTCCAATGACTTACACTTGACTGCTTGGACCCCAGTTGGTTTGGAAAGGATGAGGAAGTGTGGCCTTGTTGAGAAGGTGTGTCACTGGTGGTAGGCTTTGAGGTTTCAAAAGCCCACATCACTCACAGTTAGTTCCGTCTCTGCCTTGTGGTTGTTGTCTTAACATAAGTTTGCAACCTGCCTGCCTGCTGCTCTGCCATGACAATCATTAACCTCTACTATAAGTGCCAGCCAATTCTTTCTTCTGTAAGTTGCCTTGGTAATGGTGCTTTGTCACGGCAACAGAAAAGTAACTAAGACACAACACAAAGATTAAAAGAAATGGGGTAAGCCAGGCATGGAGGCGTACATCTTTAGTACTAGCACTAGAGCAAAGCAGACTGATCTCTCTAAATACGAGGCCAGCCTGTTATATAAAACAAGTTCCAAGACAACCAAGGTTTCACAGTGAGACCCTGTCTCAAGAGAAAAAAAGAAGAAAAATGAAGGGGTGTTGCCTACATGTTTAAACGATGCATAGGGAACTGTGGTAGAGCCTGTCTCTTCTAGATAATCTTCCCAGCTGAATTCTTCTACTTCTACACCAGACCCAAGATCTGCAAAAGAAAACAACAACAAAAAGTTATATCTCCAAGTAAACTCATTACATAAACAAATTTACTGTAGGACAAATTAATTGATTTTATACACAAAAACTTAAGCAACTTTTGCTTTAACGGTAGGTTCCCTAAGTCAATTCAATTCAACGTAACAGTCATTTAATATATTTGCTCATGCTGGGTGTGCTGGTTTGAATAGAAATGAACCCTGTAGGCTTGTATATTTACATGTTTGGTCATTAGGGAGCAGCACTACTTAACAGGAATTAGGTTGGAGTAGTGTGTGGCCTTGATGGAGGAAGTGTGCCACTGGGGATGGAGCTTTGGGGCTTCAAATACTCAAGCCAGGACTAATGTATCTCTCTTCCTGCTTGCTATCTGTCAGTTCAGATTTAAAACTCTCATCTACTCTGCAGCACTATGTATGTGTGCACACTCCCGTGCTTACTACCACAACAATGGCAAACTAAACCTCTGAACTGTAAGCTAGCCCAGTTCAATGTTTTTCCCTTATATGAGCTGCTGTAGTCATGATGTTTTTTCACGGCAAAAGAATACTGACTAAGACACTGGGGAAACAACAAATCTAAAGTTTACTCAAATATATCATATAAAACTAGAGTGAATATAAAATTACTCAAATTACTTTAGACTCAAATATACTATCTAATACCAACATTTATGATTCTTAATAGACATTTCAAATTTAAAATGTGAACATGACTCTAAGTATTTTGCAACCAAGTAAAAATACTACTTGCCAATATTTGCAGTCAATCTAGAAAGTAAGAACTTAATTTTAGTTCTCCTCCCTTTTTATTCAGCCCTTATATACAGTCCAATGAAGCATATCCTAAATCTATTTCTCATGATATCCATTGGTATCTCTGGAGCAAGGCCTATTCATATACCTTTTACCTTTCACTCACATAAGACTGCAAAGGCTCAACAGGATCTCACTTACCTTCCACTTTTTATGAACCAACCCACAACTCTCTGTAATTCAGCTCTTGAGGACCTGATGCCCTCTGGCCTCTGTGGGGATTGCTGTCACATGTACAAGTTCATATCCATATACATAATCTCAGTACTCAGGAGGCAGAGGCAAGTATACCTCTGAGTTCAAGGCCAGCCTGGTCTACAGAATGAGTTCCAGGCCAGTCAGGGCTACAAAGAGAAGAAACCCTATCTCAAAAAAAAAAAAAAAAAAAAAACAAAGAGGGGAAAAAAGATTACATCCAAAATCTATTTTAATGGGGGCTGGAAGCTTCCTCCTTGATGACCAGTTTTCACATTACTAGACTATGTAGGCTGTAGAGGAGAAAAGTTATCAACACTTTTACTCAGCCAAGGACCCAGTAGGTTTCAATGCCAATCTACTGGTTAAGATGTGCTCTAATGGCATGACTGTTATGAGGGTAACCAACTGTTTTCTGATTGGATGTGAGACTTGCTCCACAGGAAGAAAGTTCATACCTAGTACTGTAAATTTGGTCAAAAGCCCATGGCTGGGGAAGTCACAGACCCTAGTGGAAAAAAATCCCACCGTTGTTTTGCTAAATGAATATACTATGCCCATTAAGTCACCTTATATTTATTTATGCCCACAGAATATTGCTCCCATCAGCTTGGGTCAGAGAAACTTCTGTCTGCTATGAGTGACAGTTACTTTCAAGACTCATAAGAGGTCAAAATGCTGAGAATAAATTAAGTGCTCAGGGATGAAGGAGGCAGAGATATTACTTACTCTATGAGGCTCAGAGAACACGGTGAAAAGGGGAAATATACAAGAGCCAGAAGAACAGAGAGAATGTTGTAGAATGCTGTTTTCAGGGCATGACATGGTCTTGGCACTCATGGACTCACAGTTGCCATAATTATCTATGTAAGAACTGCATAAGCCTGGGCCCTTCAACATTCTAAGACGGAGGGGAGAGGGGCTCATGAGTCTATGTCTTTCCTGAGGATCTGTCTATAGGCAGATAGTAGGTGCTTGGAGAGGACAGGACATGTTTTTTCAGTGGTAAAACCAATGGTAAACTATCTGCCTCGGGTGCTGTAAATAATCTTTCACCAGTGCTTTTATAAGCAATGCTAATTAAACCCACTGGGTCACCAAAAAGAAAAAGGCATGAAAGTAAATAAGGAGCTAGTTGGGAAGAGGAAGGAGACAAGAGAGTGTAATAGGGAATGAATGTGGCTAAAATATAGTATATAGTTGTATGAAAATTGTCATAGTAAAATGAAACCTGTTACTATATATAATTAATAAATATGAATTAAAAAAAATTAGAACAACATGAAAATGGCTATTCTGGATAACAGTATAACAGTATTATCACTAGGTCTATCATTTTTAAATTGCACTCAAGCCCCAAATGAAGCATCTATATCACATTATCTCCTCCTCAAGGCTCAGATCATGAAACTGTGACTTCACCAAACACAAAATCTGTACAAATCCAAGCTGGCCAAAATTTCAGCACATGTGCAGGAGAAGCTCTCAAGTACCATGGCCAGCTAAAGAGTTATTGGCAATGAATGGCTGCTGGAGGAGAGAGCATCGGTTTTCTTTGGATGCAGCCCCTGATGGGCTGCCCATGTTCTAACAGAGTGGCATGTAGCCATGCACATATAGACAACACTAAGTGGACTCACTGGATTCTTTAAAAAGTATACAATGTTAACTGGGACAAATGGTTGCGGCTTGGGGAGAGTTAGAAGGGAGGGACTGGAGAGTGGATCTGATCAAAACACATATTCATATATAAAATTCTCTAACAAAATTTAAAAATGAACTCATTGGCATTTTTCCTCCCAAAATAGATTACTGTATCCACAACTATTAATAGCAACTTATTTGCAATAGCTAAAATTAGAAAAATCAAAATGTATGCAATATATTCATGAACTATGACTCACAATACAAAGTAACAAACATAGGCTGTGAAGATGGCTTAACAGGTAAAGGTACTTGCTGTTAGATCTGATAACCTGAATTCAATTGTTAAAGCTCACATGGGAGAAGAAGAAAAATATCAAGTCTTCCAAGCTGTCCTCTCATCTCTACACATGTACCATGCCATGCTGACATCACTCAAATACACATACATATAATTATTTTAAGTAATAAATTTTGATATGCAAGACTGTCAACTTATCTCAAGACTATCATTTCAGGGGACACCTCCAATGGTCATATATTAATTTTATTCATAAGGCATTCTTTAAATGACAAAATTATGGAGATAGCAGATGACTAATTGCCTCTGATTAAAAGTGCAATGAGAAAGAGAAATAAGAAGCTCTTCTGGCGACAGAAGAGTTGTCTATCTTGACTAAGGTAATACTGACAGCAGAGTAGACATGTGACAAACAACACAGGACACTTTGTGCTCATTCTTGTCTTTTATATGTACAATTTTTATATAATATTTTTATTTTATATTATAGTAACATGAGAGAAGAGAAACTGAGTTGACGGGGAACATGGAACCTGTGACACTATCTTTGTAATTTCCTATGAGTTAATAAAGTATTTTTAAACAATTATAAAGTAATAAAATCCAATGATTTAGAAAACAAGGTCTGTTCATAAAAACTTTTTTTTCCCCTAGCAAACAAAAGTGTAGTCCCTCATGTCAAGTTTTAAAGCCCAAGGGATGCAATGAAAAAAGTAATACTTCAAAGGGCTTCCAGTTCAGTAGTATAAAGTCAAGTCAGACCACACAACACAGCCAAATAACCTACACCTGCACTCTGGAGAAGGGTTTTAGCAAATCCAATACCTGAGTCAAGCTGCTGCTCCCCGGTCATCTCCACAGCACATGGGCTATCTCGTCCCCAAGTAATGAGCAGGCTGAGGGCTCTGCTATGATAAAAAGATGATCTGAAGTGTCAAGTTTCTGTCCAGTGGCATCCAAAAATCTAAACAAAAGTGTTTAAAAGTTAAAATAAAATTAATAAACATGGCAAAATTCAAATATACTTAGTTATTCATAAGACACCATGTGACTGGGTTGAGAGGTAAGAGAAAAAGAAAATCACTGAGAAGAAATAGGATTATAGTGATGGGGTGACACTTTTTCTGAATTTAAAGTTTGTCTAGATGTGTGTGTATGAGATGACTGTCAAATTCTTTATATCTAAAGACTACAATACATTGTGACTAAAGAGATGGCTCAACAGTTAAGAGCACTGGCTGCTGACCATAAAATCCAGGTTCAATTCCCAGTACACACATGGTGGTTTCAACCACTTGTGACTCCAGATCCAAAGGATCTGGGTGCCTTTTGTCCTTCTTGGGCATCAGACAGAAAGTGGTACAGAGACACACATTCAGGCAAAACACTCATACACATAAAATAATTTAATAAAGATTACAATAGATAGACATTTGTTTGAGTCATAACCTTTAAACTTGGTATCATGGTTGCTAACCACAAAAATTCTAATCTTCTATCCATGAAAACTCTAATACCTAAAAGAACCACTCCAAAATAAGTTCCAAGCCCATGCATATTTTAAAATAGCTTTATTGGCCAGGCATGGTAGCACACAACTTTAATTCCAAAACTTAGTAAGAGCCAGCCTGGTATACATGGCAAGTTTCAAAACAGCCAGAGCTACACAGTGAGACCCTGTATCCAAGACAAAACAACAACAACAAAACCCACCAATTTTACTGGAATAGAATTCACCAAAATTCACATTTGAAATGTACTTCTTTATTTTAAATTTAATCATAAATGTAATTAAAATCTTTCAGTTAAATTCACAGAGGATTTAGCTATTACCATAAACCAGTTTTAGAATATTTGTGTCCCCTTAAAAAAGACTTCACACCCATGCTCACAAACCACACTACATCATCATAATGAGCTCACAAACACAAAACAATTTAGCATACCTGCCCTGGAACCAATAGCTAGTAAGCAGCAGAATCAAGCTTTTAACCAAGGAGGAAGTCTATATTTCATGTCCTCAAACAAACAGATGATGACTTTGAACTTCTGATGCTCCTAATTCTACCTTGTAAATGGCAGGATGTATGACTAATATGATTAATTCTAAGAAAAAATTAATAATCATTTATCAAGTAGCTAAGGAAAAAATCCAACTAAAATATTTGAATTTACATACTATTCCAATCCAAAAGATGTATATACTTTTAAAGCATGTGGCTAATTATGGTGAATACTGTAACCAGATGTCCCACTTCTCAGATGTGCAGCTCTAACTCTGCCCCTGCCAGGTAAAGGCTGCTAAGTCCTTCTGCTTCCTGCTCCCCATGAGTTCAGTTTCCTGCACTGGCCCTTCACTCTCCACAACACTCGACTATTGTTCCCTGAGTTGGTCTGCTTTAGAGAATAAATAAAACTTTTAGGAAAGTAAAATCAAGTTCTAAACTTGATTTTCAGGATAAAAATCTTTTGTTGATTCATTAAGTTGTTTCTCCTGGTTAATTTTATTGTTAATCCACTCCTACATGTCTAAAAAGATTAGAAATTAAAGTCTAACAAAGTCCAGGTTTTAAAGCATTCTGACAGACAAATCTTAGCCACCTCTATAATCTAAATTAAATCTGACCATAATGTAATCTTTTCAAGTTTATGTAAATTCAACATAGCAGTATCTCTCTTGGCTCAAAAACTAGTAATAATAAATGCATTGAATGCCTAAATTGTTTACTTTTAGAGACAAGTTCTAATGCCCAGACTGGCTTTTACTTCAGGGATTAAGTGATCCCTCCTGGAAGCTTCTCAAATAATATCACACCTACAAACAATGAGAAAGCATTAAATATAGGGCACAAAAATATAAAGTGTAAAATATAGCCATTAATTTTGTTTTGTTTTGAGACTTCATATCTTTCTATAGAGTCCTGGCTCTTCTAGAACTCACAATGTAGACCAGATTCACCTTGAAGTCACAGAGATCTGTCTGCCTCTGCCTCCCTAGTGCTGGAGTGAAAAGCATGCAACACCATGCCCAGTCATTATAAATTGTATTAATGAAACATTTTTCTTCTCAATCAAATCCCAAAAGAAGTATTTTACTGTGTGATACACTGATTTTTTAAAAGAACATGAACATCCAAAAAGTAAGGCTGAGAATGTAGATCAGGGACTGAGGGTACAGCATAGAGACAGATCATTTGTCAAGCACAAAGACCCTAGATTTAACCCATTAACAAGAAAACAGCAATGACAAAACAACAATAACATATACATACATACATGGCTTGGGGCTGGTTAAATACTTGTCAATCATGCAAGAGCCTCCTGAGTTAATCTTCCATACTGGGAGCAGGGTTGGGGGAGTGTCAGAGGTTGGGGATGTAGTAGCGCTCTCTCTTGGTATATGTAGTAGCTATATGTAGTAGCATATGCCCAAAATCCCAGCACTTGGAATTTAAGTGACAGGAAGATCAGAAGCTCAATCAAGATTTACATACTGAGTTCCAGACCAGCCTGTGTTACATGAGATTATAAAACAAAAGAAAAAAGATAAAAGTAAATAGTGTTTTAAAATTTTGTTTTGATCCTATTAATGAAGACAAAATTTACACTTATCACAAGACATGGCGAAATTAATTTGATACTGACTAAAAGCTGCCTTTCTGTAGGCTAGCTTTCATAGTAATACAAAGTGCTATGAAGGCTGCTAGGGGATAGGAGAGCCATCAACAGTCTTGCTCGCTGTGAACCTGTGAACTGCAACAGGGACAGACAAGGCAATACATGGCCATGGATGATAGAGTAGCACAAATACTATGGAAATGACCAACTGTTTACTCATTGGCTTTAAGGCCTGCTACACAAGCAGAAACACTGTCTGGTACTCTAAATGTGGCCATCATGGTTAGAAACTATACATGAGCCAAGGATGAACCTACTACTATTATTTTGCTAAATGAACATGGTAGCAAATTGCTCTCCAATTTTTATCTTTCTACCCACAGAGAAAATTGAGCAGTGAATGGTGGGTAATGTAGAAATTCACAACTGATCAAAGTGCAGACAATTTTTAGTAGCATGCTCAGTCATCTACTTTATTTTTTTTTTATTTATTTTATGTGTATGTATGAGTGGTTTTGCCTGCATGTACATGCCTGAGAAGGCCAGAAGATCCCTGGAGCTGGGTGCTGGGAATTGAACTTGGGTCCTCTTTAAGAGCAGCAAGTGCTCTTAACTGTGACTCACATCTGCAGCCCAAATGGGATACCTGTACCACATACACCCCTAAAGATTCAGGGACCATTAAGGAATAAGGCAGCAAAAAGACTACAAAAGCTAGAGAGGACCAAAGCAAACCAGTCTTCTCAACATGACAGGATGCTGTACTCACAAACTCACAACAGCTGAGCCTACACAACATCAAGCCAGTCAACATTCTAGCATGGAGGGGGAAGGGGCTCACAAGCCCTACCCCTAATAGAGGAGCTATGGACAGTTGATGACTTCTCTGAGAGGAAGAGTCAGGTTTTTTAAGGGTGAGGTCAACCATGCTCCAGTAGATAGTCCAAACCCAGAAATATATGGGCAGCACAAACTGGAAATTTGTTTTTTTTTGTTTTTGTTTTTGTTTCTTTATAAAGAGATAGTTGAAGCAGGCATAGAGGGGAATGCGTGGGTCTGGAAAGAATTAGAAATAAAAGAAAAGGCAAAAATGCTTAAAATTATAATGTATGAAATTCTCAGAGTAAATAAAAATATTTTTACTAAACTACCTCATTTCTGAATGTTTACAACAAAATTATTTATAATAGATAAAAGGTAAAAACTACTCAAGTATTTATCAATTAATTAATAGATAAGTAAAATGCAGTATACCTAATACAATAGAATCTAAACCATCCACACACAAAAAAAGTAATACTATTGCATTTTATGACATGAGTACCTTAAAATATTGTTGTAAGTGAAAAAAGTCAGATACAAAAGCCAAATATTATGTTTCAAATTATACTAAATTTCTAGGATTGGTAAACCATCTCCATTTCTATAGGCACAGAAAGGTTAATGAGACCAAACACCAGGGGAGAGACTTCAACGGTGGACGCAGCCTTTTCCCTTTCCTTTCCTTTTCCTATTTTTTTTTTTTGAGGTGGAATACTGAACATTTCAAAGCCGAATTGTAGTACTCTGCAATAGTTGGTAATGATAGCTAAGTTCCTAGTATATAATTCTGTATATATTTTGAAAAAGGAAAAAACTCAGCCAGGCGTAATAGCATATATCTAGCAGAGACTAGCAAATCTCCATGAGTTTGAGGGCATCCTGGTGTACATGGTGAGTTCTAGGACAGCCAGAGCTATTTTGAAAATTAATTCATAATTATGAATAATTAAATAAAAAAGAAAAAGCACATAACTTTATATTTTGTATCTGTGTATGTACAGGTGTGGGGTCTGAGGTTAATCAAGGTGTCTTACTCTATCACTCTCCGCTTTTTTTTTTTTTTGGTGGGGGAAGACTGGGTCCCTTCGTCCTTCCTTCCCTCTCCCCATGTTCCATCTGTCTTATCAAACTTGGAGCATTGTAGGGGGTTGGTCTGGTGCTACTATGCTTTCAAATGCTAAATACTGGCCCCCAAGATCTGATTGTCCCAGACAAGGAGATCCTCACTTACACCAAATGATGCTATGCAGATCTTGACTCCCAATTTATCCCTGTAGGCATAAAGATGCCTACAGCCTGGGCTGGGCAGAAAAGAGGGAGCTGCTCAAACAAAACTTGGCAAGTAGTATCTCAGAGATTTTGACAGGGAAGCAGACAAACTGCATAGAGGGTTGATATCATCCCGGCTCTAGTTCCTGTCTTTTATTTGGGAACTAAATGATCTGAAGTGGGGTAGAAACCTGTAATAGATATTTAAAAACAAGGACTTGTAGTAACACCCATAATAATAATAACCACTACAGA